AGCATGCCTCCACCCACCGTAGTTAATGAAACAGGGGAGCTCTTCTTGCCTTCATCATTGCAACAACCACAGCACCGGAAACTTCTACTCCAAATATGGCCGCCGATTCGAAAGTGATTATTGAGCGCCTGCAGAAGTGGGGCGCCTGTGATGTGCGTTAACGAAGATAAGGATCGCAGTGCACCCGAGGCTGACAGTTGTATAGGTTGCGGATGGTCTCTCCAAGCTCAAATATCCCAATGGAGGGTTCCTGGAGGGGTTGACCATGTATTCGCCCGAATTCCAGGCAGGTGAGACCAAAGTCGTCGGTCAAGCCTTCACCGTGAAATTTGTTCCCAAGTCCGATGAAGCTGCACCGAAGTTGCAGGGTAATTATGTATGCATGAGATCGCCGGACTTCAACGTGGCTTACTCTGACCCACATCTGCTAGATCGATCAAATTCCCGAAGGCGGAGTAGTCTTCATCTCTCAGCCGCTTCCCCACGTAAACGCCGTCTATGGTGGCTTGATGACGCTACGCGCCCAGGCACTCAAGGCAGCTGCAGTTGTGATTGATGGTCGGGTCCGTGATCTAGAAGAGCATCGCTCCCTGAACTTTCCTCTTTTCGCCCGATCTGTTGGTACCACGGCTGGTGGAGAGGTCTGCCGCCCGTCTGAAATCAATGTTCCCGTTCGCCTCAACTCCGAGAACCAGGATGCCGTAATTTCTCCTGGGGATTACATTATCGCTGACCTCAACGGCGTGGTTCGCCTCCCTCAAGAACTGGCTGAGCAAGTATTGGAGCTTATTCCCGCCATCGCTGAGGCGGATGCCAAGTGCGCGGAGGCAATCAAGGCGGGCTGGACAGTGGAAAGAGCTTTCAAGGAATTCAGAGGCCGGTGAAATGGATCCAGATATGATAGAAATTCATTTGCAGGCAAATGCTTATCAAGGACATCATATCGGAAATAAGAGTTGTAGAAGAAATAAAAATCCCGGATCGTCAACTAATTTGGACGGTTTAGGCAAAGTCATGGTCGGTGTATCGCAGTATAGAGGATCCTAGACCAATACTCATTGCAATGTATTTACACCTTCAGTCGCTAGTATCGAAAGTATTCAGCCTCTACAGGTATACTCATATATATGTGTCTTTCTGTTCATCAATACAAAGATTACTTGCAGTTCATAAGGGGTATGAACGTAGTACTACCTAATATATATACCACAACTTGAAACGTGAATTCTAGATACAGATGACTCTCAGAGTACTAGATGCTAAATCGGGTCTTTGTTCAGCGGGTCTTCAGCTTGACTCTAGGGACGATAAACATGATCTGGCTGGTTCCTATAATTATAAGTGTACATGCTACTGTGCCCTTCATCCCACCGCCGACTGCTAATTACAAACTCGCAAGCGAACTATAGAAACAAGATAAGGAAACAATGTGTGAAAGCGAGGTGACGCAAATTTCTTCCATAGAACCCCCCCAAATTGAACAACTCAGTCCCATTCCCCAAATGCCTCTTCAGATTTCGCCCTGAGTCACCTGCACCCGCGAATCCATTCTTCTGATAATCGCCCCCTCCTCCCTCCCCTGTTCCCCACCAGAATCTTCTCTTCACTACTCAAGCTCACATCCAAAATCCCATCCTCCCAATCCCAGCCGCCATACCCACGCAATAATTCCGCAATTAGCGCCGTAGCGCCTCGGCGGAGGTAAGTCGTGGTGGTCCTACTGCGTCACCCAGCTCAAATACCCTACTCCATCCCTTTCATATCCCTATCCTGCATGCTTCCACTATGCTTGGTGGACCGACTCCGACCATTACCGTAGCCATGGATATTCCCACCCGGGGAAACATGATCGGTCGTGCTGACAAGACACGGTCAGTAGTACTTGGTAACCTTCTTAAAGGATGGGGTACAGACAGTACTAACAGCGATATTAAAACCCCCCACAGCATGTAGTGCCGCCAAATGATCAGGTTGGGATTAGAACAACAAGAATGTTCATGAAAAGATTAACAGTAGTAGTAATAATATTTAAGACTTCTTAGTTTATACAGCTACTAAGAATTGTTGATAACATTTTATATCATAAGATTCTGAGTTAATCAAATACGAATTTAATGTTAAGTGTGTAATAGAATAATATAATATCACTGTTTATATTCTCTCGGTTCTTGATAGATAGGTAATCAAAGGATAAATAGAAGGAACGAGTTCTTATTGAATTTGACTAAATCTTAGTAGTCTTCTACTAGCTAATAGCAGACCTGCTATCATTCATATGTTGTATAGAAAATATAATCAAGATAATTGTTTTACTTTAAATAAGAGAACTCCGCAGCTATCTAGGTAGAACTATGTAAGATAGAATTAGTAGGTAGAATATATGATGCTCATCCAAGGTTTTAATTTAATCATGCTGCTGTGCAATAACGCCAGTGCATCGCATATGCACTGCTAATAGGATGCTGGAAGTTTATATGGGGCAATTTCTTGGCACTGGAGAAATCCTAAAGTATTCAGTCAAGTACTTCGCAATACGTGTAAAGACCTATTTGTTATTGAAATAAAGGTTTGGGGTTGTTATTGCGATATCTCGTAGGCGGAAAGGTATCAGTCTAAGTAGGAGCTGCCTATCTTTAAGGACAATCATATTTGTGGAGAGGTTGATGAAGTCTTGGTCGTGGGAGACGTTAGCACAGTGATTTCAGCTACTAGGTGCAACTGATATCGTATATATGTTCTCTAAAAATCTAACTTTACTTCTCCAAAATTTAGCTTGATATGTCTCTAATGAAAATATGAATCTGTTACCCTTACTTGTAAATTTTTAAAAAGACATAAGAAGTATATAACCTACATAGATAAAACAGTTTACTTTCACCGCAGTACTAGTAAAGGATGTCATGAAGTATCATACTGAAGGCTGGGTTCGTAGATATAATAAAGATTACGGTGACACGATTAGGAGAGTATAATGTTGGTATAGGATATATTAAGATGGTCATAATTAAAAATAGAGAGAAGATTTCTGAGCTCTGAGGTGACTCAGGAGATTGCAGCATTAATTTCTGTGATGATGATCCCAAGGTTGCCGGAGGAGGTAGCTAATTGTATCTATGACTATGAGTATATTAGTAGGGACAATGCATATGACAAAGCAGGGTTATTTGTGTATGAACATTTAAGTGAATTCTTTGGGTTTGCTCTACTCTACCGTTTTACTATACACACCATAACTTCATCACCGTCGTCATCATCACCGTCGTCATTATAAATAGATCCAATCATCCACTTAAGCATCACCACTCTCAATAACCACCTTCACCACCGGCCTACCCTCCTCGTCCACTCCCTTACCTGACAGTCCAAACGCCCGATCGCCATCCGCAAGCGGTACCCGATGCGTCACTACCATCTTCTCTACGCGATCCATTTTCCCACTAGCCATCAGCTCAATCGCCGCCGGATACGCATACCCATCATACCGGAACACTCCCAGGATATCGACCTCTCTCAGTGCCGCCGCTCCCACAGGCAGCGTCTGCACGGGGTGTCCCATCCCGATCTGCACCAATACTCCACCCGCTCCGGCGGCATAGATGCCTGCCTGCACGCACGCCGGCACACCCGTGCAATCATATACGCGCGCATAGCCCGTCTTCTCCACACCCGCAGACTCCTTCAAGATTCCCGCCACACGCTGCGCATTCTGCAGCGCCCACGCCGTCTGCTCCGCGGCCGGCGCATCGCGGGATGGCGCGGGGTTCGCGGGATCCGCCTTGGGAATGAGAGTGGTTTTGAGACCCATACCAAGCTCGTCAGCAATAGCCAGTCGGGAGGCATCAATGTCTGCTACCACGATTGAGGAGAAGTTCTGGGAGGCGGCCAGCGCAGAGGCCAGGAGGAGGCCGATAGCGCCGGCGCCGAAGATCAAGGCGGCGGTGGGTTCGCCGAGGGACTGCGCGAGGGAGACGTCCTCGGCGGTAGGGGGCCGGGAGCGGCGGATGGCATGTAGGCAGACGGCGAGGGGCTCAACGAGGGCACCGCCGGCGTAGGAGACGTGAGAGGGAAGCTTGTGGCAGAGGGAGGCGGGGTGGTTAGTACGTTCCATGAGGGTGCCGTCGAGGTGGGGAAAGAGTTTCGCGCTGCTGCGGAACTTCATCTGAGGGCAGATGTTATAGCGCCCTTGTTGACAGAGGGCACATTGACGACAGGCAAAGCCGACTTCCAGGGCGACACGGTCGCCCACGGCGTGGGTGGTTACCTCGGGGCCAATGGCTGTGACGATGCCGGAGGATTCGTGGCCCAGGCACATGGGTTCGCGCACCACGAAGTCGCCATTCCGCCCGTGAGTGTAGTAGTGCAGGTCGGAGCCACAGAGACCAGTGGCGCGAATGGCGACTTGGACTTCACTGCCGGTTGGAGGGGAGAGAGGGCGCGATTCCTGGTTTTTGTTAGAGACGTTTCTGAGTATCAAAAGAGTAGGAGAGTGGGGTGCGGGGAAGCTCTTACTAGGCGGAGATCTTTGGCGCCGTGCAGGACGAGGGCTTGGGTGGTTTCTGTAGAGTTGACGGTCATGATGGATGTATGAGAGAAGTTGGAATAGGAAGGAGAAGCGTAAAAAAGAATGAAAAGAGGAATGGAACTCAATACATGACGTGGGGGAAGAAATTGTAATCTTTTGAATGAGAAGTAATGGATTCAGTCGCCGGAGGAGCTCCGCGTCGGCTATTGACTCCTACCCGGTCAATAGCCGACGGCATCCCAAATTGGATGGCCGACCCCGCATACCCTCTTTTCTATCTGGTTATTGCTGTATTATTGCGTTATTATCGCTGGATGATATCTTTCTAGATTACATAGTAATCAAAACTCACCCCCCACGCCAAATGGTGGATCTACCTCCACCGGCCATTCATAAATGCCCTGATTAATCGGATATTCCCCGTTGTATATCCCTCACTTCTTTTCTCTTTTCTTCTTCTTCTTCCTTTCCTTCCCCTCTTCTCCCCGCAGGATACTCTTTTCCTTGACATCATCGCCATCATGCCCGCCGCATTGCTGATCGGTGCCATCACCCATTCCATCCCCGAATGGAATGATCTCTCCTCTATTCTGACCTTGAAGGAATTCCCCTCCGGGACTCGCGAGGACTTTCTCCGAAACTGTCGCGACGGCCAGTACGACGATGTTGTTGCCATCTATCGCTCCAATACTTCTACGAAGGTGGGCAGACTTCATGACGATAGACTTAAGGAAATAGCTAAAGCGCTTCAGTTCACCGGCCCTTTCGACGCAGAACTAGTTTCCGTCCTGCCCTCCTCACTCAAGTACATTGCCCACAATGGCGCTGGCTACGATAACATCGATGTCGCGGCCTGCACAAAGAAAGGTATACACTGCCTTTCCTCCTAGCATGACTCACACTAACCATCCCAGGAATCGCCGTCTCCAGCACCCCAGTCGCAGTTAACAACGCCACCGCCGACGTGGCTGTCTTCCTAATGATTGGCGCGTTGCGACAGGCATATATTCCTGTCTCGTCTCTCCGCGAAGGTGAGCCCTGCCAACTCAACCCAGTAACAACTTCATCTAACTATGGAATAGGAAAGTTTCTCGGTCAGACAGGCCTCGGACACGATCCCCAGAACAAGGTGCTTGGAATTCTCGGTATGGGAGGAATCGGCCGTGTAAGTCCAGCACACAGGACCGGAGGAGCATTATATTAATGAGTTGCAGGAGGTGGCTCGTCGTGCGCGTGCCTTCGGAATGACCATCCAGTACCATAACCGGTCGCGTCTGTCCCCGGAACTCGAGGACGGAGCGACCTACGTCTCGTTTGATGAGCTGCTCGCCAATGCTGATGTGTTGAGTTTGAACCTGGCGCTCAATGCATCCACTCGTCACATTATCGGCAAGTCGGAATTTCAGAAGATGAAGGATGGAGTCATCATTGTTAACACGGCGCGTGGAGCGCTGATTGATGAGAAGGCCTTGGTTGAGGCGCTGGAGTCGGGCAAGGTTAGTTAAATTCTTCTTCGAAGGCAAGGGTAACCGGGCTAATGTGATGACTTAGGTATGGTCGGCTGGATTGGATGTCTACGAGAATGAGCCCGCCATTGAGCCGGGGTTGGTGAACAACCCCCGGGTCATGCTGTTGCCGCATATTGGTACCATGACTTATGAGACACAACGGGAGATGGAGTTGCTCGTGTTGAATAACCTGCGCTCCGGCGTGGAAACGGGGAAGATGATTACGTTGGTACCCGAACAGAAGGATGTGTTTGGGAAATAGATGTATTGTGAGAGACACCAACTTTACCTAGATATTGTATAGATCGGAGTATTTCATACCCTAAAGACTACATCCTCTGCATACTACAGCTTCCCCCAGATTGGGCTCATATTTAACTCTAACTCTTAGAAAGAACTTACCCTCAGCTCTTTCGACCCTCACATTTGAGCACTTGATGACGCTATGCTGATATCCTCACCCCTCCGTCATGACTACACAATAGCTTATGACCACGACTACCAGCTAACCACACTTCGCATAGACTTGACACTATTTACTACCAGACCATTCTTCCAACTACTCCTTCGAAATAGTATACTCTCTTTCTATATATCCCCATAACAACCACTCATTAACTACCTATCCATACGCTACCCATCATGAGCCCCAAAAGACCCACTAGGGTAACAGCGACGACCAAACCCCAACTCCAACCCGTAACCTCAGGACGCATCACACGACCCCGAAAGCCTCACCCTACAAAGATCACTACCTTCACCCGTATAAACAATCCCGCAGCGCATACCAACTCATACCCTCACCCAAAACGCCAAGAACAAGAAACAGAAGGTCACACCCCAGCCTGGGCTGATGTACACATACCCTACCGTCCCCGCCTCCTAGAGCATACTAACTCAAATAAACCATGATCAGAATAGACCTGAACTTTGCGACGCTCTGCCCTGGTTCCGCTCCGTGCAAGGCGGAGTCTATCATAACGGGAACATATGCTGGGGTTTCCTGATCGATGCGGACTGCGGGATACGATCGTATTTGGATGATGAGGTGGTCATTACTCGTGTGTATGTTCATCTCTTCTCTTGAATCTCACATTATGTGGTAACAGAGTCTAACAATATCATGTCCAGCGGAGGCGGCTGCACCAAGGATGCAAACGGGAACTTAGTGCTCATCAAGGATCAAGATGGCGACAGTGCGGCGATGAGCAGTATACTGAATAGTATGAAGCTAAACGTCCCAGTGGGGATTGTTATTGGTGAGTAGGCCGTGCCGTTTCTTTGCATTGCCATGTTGATAATCCTACAGGGAACCGCAATACCCTCCTACCCAGATCTCTCCCGCACAGATACAACGTCATGGCGTATTTCCGGATCACGCACGTGTGGTACGAACGCATCGGTAGAAGAACGGGTGCAAAGGTCCGGTTCGAGAAGTTGGATCTGGGTAGTAAGAGCTGGTGGGCTGCGAAGCATTCCCGGCCTCCCCTGGAGAGGAAGAAGAGGGATTATGCGATGCAGGCAGAGCAAGCCCGTTGCGAAGCGTGCGATCAACACAGCATACGCATATACGATGAAGGTTGGATGTGTCTGCAGCCATCTTGTAAACTCTTCTGGATGATCAGTGGCTCGTCTTCAGCACCAGCGGATCTCATCTTCCACGAGAAATTCCTCAAATCCCGTCTCCCTCCGGACCCAACTATCCAGCCACATTACAGCCTCGTACCGGACTTACTTTCCACATTGAAAGATGCTGATAGCGATGCGTTGTCGAAGAGAATCACCTGGAAAGGGATCATATGTCCCCTCTGCAGGCGGTGCATTTCCCGGCGGTATTGGTGGGGATGGCGATGCGCGGATGATGATTCCGTCAGGGACAGGGACGGGGAGTGGAAGTGTCCTTTTGAGCACATTCTACCCATACGACCTATCGCTCTGCGATGGGTGATCGATGACATAGAAACAAGCCCTATTAAGCGTGCGCTTAGCTGGGATGCAAAGTTCATGGTTCCAGAGGTTGACGATGTATCTCTTTATCCGTATAGAAAGCTCACGTATACTATTCCCGGAGTGGGGAGTATCATGCATTTAGTTGCGAATCGCGGAATAAATACCCGGTGTAATGGGCCGGATGAGTTGTTTGGACAGTTGCAGTGTGAGGAGCTAGGGTTGAGGAGGCATCCGTTGGCGCAGAGTGTGGGTGAGCTATCTATCTTCTTGTCTATGCGGATGAAATATTGAATGCTAATAGTGTATGTAGTTGCCGGGACACTGACTGCTCATTTCGCTGTTAATTATGTGCGTTCATAACCTTCCTACCATTCGCACACCAGAACCTAATTTAAAAATGAAACAGGGCATGCCATACAAATACGTCGTCTCCGTCTCCTCAAAATCCTTCAAGGAAGCCTGTCCCCCAATCCTGCGAGCCATGGGCCGCTTAACCTGGGCCAGCAAGCAAGCCCATCTCGCCGCTGGGGATACCTTCCTTCCGCCAAACGAAATGCTCCTGTTGGGGTATCTGGAGGATATGAGAATCGGGGTACGTACATCTCTCCCTTGCCCTCTTTCCGGGGCTCCCAAAATCTCCGTCCAGAAAAATATTCACTCTATGGATAGTACCACGACGACGGCGAATCCTCCCTCGGCCCAACGATCTCCACCCTCTCTTTAGGCGCAAAATCCACCATGCTCGTGCGCATGAAATACAAATACTACCATGGCTACAGCAGAGCGAAGAAACTGCTCGAAGAGGATCCGGTCTTGCCTGGATGCAAGAATTATCTCCCGCGGAGGGAGCTCAAGGCGGGGTTGCTGAGTGGGAGTATTGATCGCGAGGGGTATGATGAGTTGAGGCGTGAGGAACTGTTGAGTATGAAGAAAGGTGGTACTGGTGGAGGAGGGGAGGCGATGCCGTGTATTAAGATGGAGGTGAATCATGGTGATTTGGTGGTTATGACTGGGGAGGGGTTGCAGAAGTTCTTTGAGGTATGGTTTATTCCTTCTTTCTTTTTGTCTATGTCTGTTTTATGGGGATGATTGGGGTAGGTGCAGTGGATGCTAATTGTGTAGCATTCGGTTATTCCGGATAAGAGGTTGAGATTCGCGTTGACGGCGAGGTATATTAAGCCGGAGTTTGTGGGGGTCGAGGAGATGGAGAAGGGGAGGTTGGAGTTGGGGAGAGAGTGGGCTTATGATGGGAAGTAGGGAACACTCGTTGCTTGCCGGTGGTGGGATGATTGGTTTGCATGGACTAGCTGCTTTTGGCTTGCTTTATACGAGTTGCTGAGCTCCTTTGTTATATTTATATAGCATCTACTTGCTAGGATGCACGAATCAAGTCTAGACAGTTCATTGTCTAACATAATCTACTAATATAACGCTTGAAAGTAGATAAAACAAAACACCAACAGATGGATATATGTACACTTCGCTTAATTTTCACCCATCACCAATTAATCAAGCACTTTTCTTGTTGGCCTTCTGAGCCAACAAGTTCAACGCACTACCGGCCAGGACAAAAGCACACTGGTCCGGACTGAGAGTGTGCTTGACGGGGATCACCAGCGACTCGCCGCTGCGCTTGGTCACCTGCAGCTGGATGGAGCCCTGTCCACCAGCCTGCAAGACCTCATACAGTCCCTCGGTGGCCACCTGGTCACAAGCATCAATCTTGTCATAGTCGGCCGGGTTCTCGAAAGTCAAGGGAACGACACCCTGCTTCTTCAGGTTCGTCTCGTGGATACGGGCAAAGCTCTTGGCCACGATGATGCGTCCACCCAGGTAACGGGGCTGCAGGGCAGCGTGCTCACGTGCACTACCCTCACCGTAGTTCTCCTCGGCCACGACCAGCCACTCAACACCGTTAGCCTTCCACTGGGCGGCCAGGTCCGGAATGGAGTACTGCTTGCCGTCCTCGTCGTAGGCAACGTTGGTCTCACCGGTGGCGGCGTTGACGGCACCGATCAGGGTGTTGGCGGAGATGTTGGGCAGATGACCCTTGTACTTCAACCACGGACCAGCCGCCGAGATGGTGTCAGTCGTGCACTGGCCACGAACCTTGTACAGAACCTTGAGGCCGGAGAGGTCGCCCTTGGGAAAAGGAGCGAAGGGCTCCAGAAGGGCCAGACGATCCGAGGTGGGGGAGACAATCACCTCGCAAGAGGGATCGGGCACAGCGGCAGTGGGCTGAAAGTCAGGGTTGCCATCGGCAAAGCCATCACTGGGAAGAGCGTAGCCGGTGGGAGGCTGGAAGCGGAACTCCTCACCGCTGGGGGTGGTAATGCTGTCGGTCATGGGGTTGAAGGTGGTGCTTCCAGAGTAAACCATGGCGGTGACGAGCTCAGGGGAGGCCAGGAAGTTCATGGTTCTCCGGTTGCCGTCGTTACGACCGGGGAAGTTACGGTTGTAGGAGGTAAGGATGGCGTTGTCCTCGCCCTTGGGGACACCGTCTGTGCGCTTCCACTGACCAATGCAGGGACCGCAGGCGTTGGCCAGGACGGTACCGCCAGCCTGGGAGAAGGTCGACAGAGTCTGATCGCGGTCCAGGGTGGCGCGAATCTGCTCACTACCGGGAGTGATGAAGAAGTCGGACTTGGGCTGAAGACCGGCGGCAGAGGCCTGCTTGACCAGGTTCTCCGCACGGGTCATGTCCTCGTAGGAACTGTTTGTGCAGCTACCAATCAGACCCGCACCAAGGGACTCGGGCCATTGCTTCTCACGAACGGTGTCGGCGAAAGCAGACAGGGGGACGGAGAAATCGGGGGTGAAGGGACCGTTGATGTGAGGCTCCAGCGTCGAGAGGTCGATGGTGATCAGCTGGTCATACTCAGCACCGCCATCGGCACGGAGCAGGTTCCTGGGACCGGAACCGGCGATCTCAGAGGCGGCACGGGCAACATCAGCCCGGTGAGTCGCCTGCAGGTAGGGAACGTGGTTGGGGGAGAAGGGGAACACGGAGGTCGTCGCGCCCACCTCAGCACCCATGTTACAGATGGTGGCCATACCGGTGCAGCTCAGGGTCTCCAGACCAGGTCCGTGGTACTCAATGATGAAGCCGGTTCCACCACGGACGGTGAGCTTACCGGCCAAGTGGAGGATGATATCCTTGGGGGCAGCCCAGCCGTTGAGCTTGCCCTCCAGACGCACACCCAGGACGCGGGGCGCCTTGAGCTCCCAAGGGGCGTCAACCAGCGCATCAACAGCATCCGCACCACCGACACCAATGGCAATGGCACCCAGACCACCGGCGTTGGGAGTGTGACTGTCAGTTCCCAGCATCATCAGACCCGGGGCAGCGTAGTTCTCCAGCACGCTCTGGTGAATGATACCGGCACCAGGGGGCCAGAACTCAATTCCATAGCGCTTGGCGGCACTCTCCAGGAAGTCAAACACCTCGCTGTTACCCTTGATGGATGCCGGCAGATCAGTGTCAGCACCACGCTCACCAACAATCATGTGGTCGCAGTGGATACTCGCGGGCACGGCCGTCGAGGGGAGACCGCAAGACATGAACTGCAGAAGTGCCATCTGGGCCGACGCATCCTGCATCGCCACGCGATCGGGCTTCAATTTCAAGTTGGCCTTGCCGCGAATGTCACGGCCATTGTTGGTGCCGGTCAGAAGGGACTCCTCGGGGTTGTCCAGATGGGCGTAGAGGATCTTCTCCGCCAGGGTCAAGTTGCGGTCCTGACCGAGCACGCGACGGACGTTTTCGAGGTTCTGCACGATCTTCGGGTAGGGAGGCAAGCGGGAAGAGGCTGCCGGAGAAGCCTCCGTGGCCAGGCCACGGCGACTGAATAGTCGTTGCGGAGAGAGGCACTTCGGGGCCAACTATAATACGGGGAAGTGGAGTGGTCAGTCCAAGCTGCTAGGGAGTCAATCGGGCTGATAACGGCACGACTTACCCTCTGAGAGGCGGTGGCCCGCTGCCAAACAAGCTGCCTCACCATTGTCACGCCGGTTACTTGGATGATAGCAGAGGGAAGTGACAGAGACTCAACGACGAGCAATTTTCCGTGCCATATGCTAGTGGCACTTTTCTTTTACCTTCCCCTTGATTGGCTCGCGCCACCGCCGATGCCGGATCTGGTGTCGATCTCGATTATGACTCATCCGTGATAAGCCACTAATATCATGTGGTCAAGTAACTGATGGAACAATAAATGTTCCGGACAGCCACATTTTACATCATCAAGGTATTATGCAGTGCCTGCATTATTTATGTAGTAAATGAAAACCAATTCCCTAATTTCACCTAATGCATGCCTTATTCAATTTCCTCATTATCATTACACATCCAGGCATACCGTATACCTGCCGGGAATATTATCACATCATCAATATTATACATACCCACCCTGACCCAGAAATTACACAAGCAAAACAGACGAACGATTAAACAACACCAATCTCCACCCCCGCAACATCTCCACCTCCCGTCCCGATCCCGATTCAATTCAGTTGGTGATAACTGGAGCCGTGTTATCCCATTCATCACTCTCTGCCACGTCGACCAAGTATCGTGCCACGCTAATCCGACTCGTACTAGCCATCATGGGGACTCCCTTGCCGTCATCTGGCCACACCTTGATAGCAGTTTCTTCCGTTTCGACTAGCCGCGACGGCCTTACAAACACATAACCGACCCCGCTGGCCAGGACTTCCCTTTCTGTTTCATTGTGATCATCGTACTGATGTGACATATTAGATGTCTTCATGAGTAGGCGCAGCAGAATGTGCAGATTAGCCCAGGATGCTCCCACCCCGAATGCCTGCAGAATCACAGTCTTGCGGACTCCAAATTCTTTCATTGCAGCCACTACATTGGCGTTGCAGTCGGCCATTAAACGAGGGGGGGAGATGGCGGCAGCAAACGGACTATCGCTCGCTCGAGGCGCATTCAGCGTTACAATCACCACGTCGGGCTTGTCTGCTTTGAACGCGGCTCGCACGTCATCTAAGTTCATCGGGGTGCCTGAGACGTGTCAGCCGTGGAACACTCTGCCATCGAAGCAGTAGCAGCAGCAAGACTTCATCTTGTACTAACCTTGGATGACATCTAGACCGGGTCGTGGACCACCCAGCGCATCAGGTGTTCGGGCTAGGGTAGTGACCTGGTGGCCTTGGACATATTAGCCATATCCATCACCACATCGTACATATTATAAAGTAGCGGGAGCCTACCTCGTCCCAGCAGCTCGTCAATGACAAGCCTGCCACATCGTCCGGTCCCGCCAATTACGAGAACGCGCATACTGCTGATTGAAGACACCAGCGGCCGTGTATCGAACTCTGGAGCCAGCCAAGATTTCTGGGCACTATTTGTTTGGCCTCATTGTGGATTTTCAGAGAGGCTCAGGGCATCTAAGTACCCTCGCGCGTTTCAGATGTCATTATCCATCGATTACGGAAGAGGAGTAGTTCTACAGGGATGCCCGGAGTGGCCCTCGGATCCGGTATACTTCGGGTCCGGAGGGAGCCTTTGCAAGCTGGGCCCAATGGCATCAACGATGGACTCGTGTCGTTGTCCTTTTCGTAGTCATTGTGCACAGTTTTTATTCAACCATCCTATAACATTATCCAGCTATTTCGAGTGAGTTCCGGCTCAGTATCCGTGTTAGCTGTATAGGGAAACTGGTCAACCCTTTGATTCGGAGCCATTATATAAAATTCCGGCGTATGACGTGGATAGTTTCCGGTAAACAACTTCCTCAAGACTGCTAAGGAGGGCATTTTCTTTGTTATGGAAGCTGTGCGACAGATTGTTCGCCTCCTTTGGCTGCTGTTTGCTACATAATGAGTGTCAAGTAAGAGCCAGACGTCCCTGAAGTGAAGCCAAGATCCGGGGTGGGAAGGAAAGTTTCCACAAATGCTTAGCCACACAAAGTATGTCGGCCAAATCCGATAGACGTAGTATGACAACTGTCTCAGTGAATAATAATCACTGGAAGGTAGAGAGTATTTGAAAATCAAATCATTCATTAGAGTTGTGTAAGTAGTATTATATTTTTCTGTTGCATGCATGATGACATCATTGTATACATCTCAATTTTATTGTATTAGACAGCGATTGAGTAAAATCTGTTGGCTACTAGCAATAGTATTAAATTATTTAGTATCTCCTAACTATATCAGGATTTTTAAATCACATATACATTTCGCAACCATATTCACAATAAATAAAGGGCAGATCTGCTTTGTCTCCATGCAGGTACTACTATGTAACTGCGGCCATCTCCGTCCCCGCAACAGAGCGGAGGCCGAGGCTCAAGTCACCTGACGTCAGTATCCGCACTGAATTTTGCAGCCGACAGAGGGGCTGATGGATCGCCAGTGACGATATTGGTGGATGGTCCAGGCGTGTGGTCGGCTTCCAACGTTCAAGCATAAATAGTCCCATTCAGTTTTACAATTTCCAAGCTTGACGGTCGACAAAGCCCATCCACTGCGTCATGCCGGAACCACTACCTCCTTTGGCACCGGTTCCACCCCCGGAGGTGCAGAGCACCGTACCACCCAACGAATGGGAGCTCTATATAGATGCGTGGATCTTGCTTCTGCAGGTACGCATTGAAGCTCCTGATTCCCAATTCAAAGAAATTGCCGCCCACGATGAAACTGCCGTGACCTTCTTGACCTCCTTCTATCATCAATCTGCCACCTTTGGCTCATCTGGCTTCCATGCCGGGCTTAAAGCGCGATCATTACGGAAGCTTTGCTTCTTGTTGACAAGGAGGTTCCTTCTGGATGCCTCTGCAACACCGTCTGAGCTGCTTGATGTACATGTCCTTGCGAACATGTGTTGCACCTACCCTTCGAGCGCTGCCTTGAAGCGACTATTGTCTGATGCCTGGAACAAGCATCAAGATACAATAACATCCAGCCTTGAGAAGGCCAAGACGAAGATTATCAGTGGGCTTGCCTCGCTCAACCCCACGAAGTCTACTGCTATCCTCTCTGACATTCGCCTCTTGACTATCCTGGCGTCCGCACTCCCCGGTTGCGGCCAGGTGCTCATGACCGGATCTGACTTTCTGGACACATTCGCCGATGCATACCAAACACACAAACGAGCGGATATCCGCAGCGTCCTCGTAGCAAACGTCTACGTTGGTCTAGCATCGCTTCTGAAGGGCCCCAAGCTGAACCTCTCCGCGCTGCTGGACCAGCTATACAGTCTAAAATCCAGCGCTGGCGTCGGATCCTCAACAACGAAAAAGGAGCCCACCCTCCTATCCGACGTCATATGCAGTACAGACCTCCTAGTCCGTCTCGCCCGCCATCTCAGCACCCACCCCCAGAAACGAGGCCAAGACCTCCTCACCAGTCTACGAACCTATCAAGAAGAAACAAAGGTCTTCCACCGTCGGCATCAAAAACAAAAGAAGCGACTCCTCGACAAAGGCAAAGGCCGCGCTGCTACGGATCTCCCCGCACCCGAAGACATGCACATTCACCGCATGTCTTTGATCACTCAAGTCCAAGATCTTTTCCCCGACCTAGGCTCCGGCTACATCACCCGCTTGCTAGACCACTACAATGACGACCCCGAAACAATCGTCTCGCATCTCCTCGACGACTCCATCCCCTCTGAGCTTCGCACCCTCGACAAATCCGAACAACTTCCTACATCAAAGTCAACGTCAACCATCCCACACGACCCTCTTCCACCCCGCCCCACACCACCACCCACAGAGCCAACCCTCCCAGCCCGCAAAAACATCTTTGACAACGACGTTGACCTTGCCGAACTATCTGACCAGTCTACCCTCCACCACGGCCGCCGCACCAACACCACCCAAGCCGACGACATCCTCGCCGACCGCACCCACCACTCCGCGAACAAAGCTGCTATTCTTTCCGCCCTGGCCACCTTTGACTCCGACGACGACGAACGCGACGATACCTACGACATTGCCGACGTCGGCGGAACCATTGATGACACCACCACCGACGATGCCAAGGCCGCAGCAGAGCAACAACAAGAGGCAGAACTCTCCCTCTACCGCACATATAAATCCAATCCGGCCCTGTTTGCGCGCGACTCTGCCACAAGACGCTCACAGCCCCGCGCTTCGCTTAAGCGCGAAACCGGCATGACGGATGAAGCGATCGAGGGATGGGCAGTCATGTTGTCGAGGGATCCGAAACGGATGGCTAGATTGGAGGATAAGATGGCTTTTGGTGCTGCTGATGGTGGGGGGTACAATCAGCCTGAGTTGCCGGCTACGTCGTATCGGAGACCTGGTGCTGGAACGGAAGATGACGACGAGAGTGAAGCAGGTGGGAGCAACAGCTCAAGAGGAAGAGGAGGACGCGGACGCGGTGGGAGAGGTCGGGGACGTGGTGCAGGCCAGCAGGGTAGTACTCCTGGGAATAGTAACCCTGCTGTTGCGCGGCAGAGGAAAGAGGAGAATAAAGCTAGTCGGGCGAATCATAATCGTCGACAGCAGCGAGCGAGGAAGGTTGCGAGGGCCGGGGGGATGATGGGGTAGTTAGTAGCGTGGATGGTAGTCCCAATAGTTAATGAGTTTACCGGAAATGATATAATGAAAGAATGAAAGACTTACTTGCTTGAAAGATTAACCAGGCGCTTACTCATGGAAAGTACTGTGAAAAGTGGCATATCTAATCACCTGTAAGTATCTCCGCCTAGAATGGGTTACTATTTATCTGTGTTCCTATATTCTAATAGATCTATGTCCGCCCCCCCCCCCCCCCCCAACATACTCCTTAAACTTCGTAAATACGTATATGCGTAGGTATCAATCTCAGATGATCCAAGGACTCTAGGGGCTTCTCCTGACGGTTCTACATTCTCACCCCCTCCCCAGATTGGGTAATAATTGGCCTCCCATCTTCCTCGTATTTCATCTTTATCTGGTTCAGCCACCAACGCATCAGAGTTACATCTAAAGAGAAATATGTCAAAGACTACTAGACATACATAGATTGATTATTGGCCACAAGAGCTCTTAAAATTTAGATTATTCTAGCAATAGCAATTTACCAAGATCCACAGCCCCTCACTGATCTATCTCATTTGAGCTATATAACCGCCTTGCCAGCTCAGAAGACATTCCCGCTATCAGTGATCCGTTAATTGAGACTCATACTGCTGCGTATCTGATCAATGATAGAGAGCGACGTGCAGCTTAGGTAGCTAGATAGTCAAATATATTTTTTACTTGCCCATTCCATTCCGTGGTGATAGAAATATGACCCATACAGCATAGGTTATTTGTGTTATTTTAATCACGTCATAGCCATCTTAATATGAGAGAACCGAGTGGACCTTTTGAGAGGCGACAACCTCAAAACCTAGAGCAACACCGGTGTCAAATTGGGCAAGGCGTCGGTCATGAAGGAATCTATTCTCCAACAAAGACTACTTGGGCTGATCACAGAACTTGCTATCATCAACAGGGCGTGTCTAGATCGAATCGATTTTCTAAAGCACATACCGGTGTTTCCGAAAGGGGAAACCTAACCGCTCCTGCAGCGGCATCGACAAAAAGGGTAATTACCATCGTTTAGATATAAATGACTACTTGCAGCAGAATCCAGCATACGCAAAGTGTAGTATCTATGAATGTCGAAAATTTGCAATGGCAATAACTAGTCTCTTCCGAGCAGCATCTCCGCCTGAGAATGTGCCGACATACTTTGGTATCAGGTAACGGCGAGCATTTACACCCAACAAGGGTCGTTATACTGACGTGGAACAGGCTGGACAGTGATATAATATGGCTTTCTGGAGACTCACCATCAACAGGATACTGCCATGTTACAGGGAAGGTCGTGCTATGCCTAAACCAACCCCTCTGTGTCAAGGATATCAAGCTGCACTTTGAAGGGCGGCGTTACATGAAGTGCGACTATCACTCCTTCTGTGTGACTCAAACTAACTGATTATGTGAATAGCTGGCAGAATTTTTCGGAATCCCAGGGAGCTCACCATCATATGCCGTCCTTGGAGCGGCTATTCATGTATCAAACCTGGAACTTTCTACCTTATCCCCGGACTCCATCACCAACTACTCTACCAGCTGGAAACCACGAGTTCCCATTCACCTTTTGCCTATCCAACAGCACACCAGACACTATTGAGGGCCTCGGCGACTGTCATGCCAGATATCAGCTGAAAGCTACTATCAGCACAGTCGGCGGACGTCGTATTCATGCTAACACCCGGGTCAGGGTGCGTCGGATGTGCAGATCACTATTGCTACCCGAGCCGAAGGTGAGATATTATGCAATATTGCCTTGTGAGGTCTCAATTTAAAGGCTAATTTCAATAGATAATGCAAGAAATATGGCCGCAGAAGATAATCTATCGCGTTTCATTACCATCTCAGGCCTATACCTTCGGGAGTGTTGTTCCCATCAAGTTTGAGTTTATTCCTTTATGCAAAAGGCTCGAGGTAGCAACCATCCACACTAAGGTTGAAGAGACACACAGAGCCTTGCAACAGCCTGTTTCCAACCGCAGGACCCGTATAATAGTCAAGGAGGACTATTATCCCAGAGGTCGGGATGAAGACGAATACAGAATAACATCCGATAATGAAGGTTGCTGGTATTCTACAACCCGCTTCCTTCACCTGCCGAATGATCCAAAAGAATGTCTACAGAGCCTCTCTACTAATTTTCTTCGTGTCGAACACACGCTCACCGTCCAAATCAAGCTCTTAAATCCCGATGGCCACTACTCAGCAGTATGACTTCTAGGTCCATTTGTTCATTCATCTTACTGACCACAATATAGATCCTCTTAGACATGCCCATTTCTGTTCAATGTGCCTTGCCACCTTTCCTAGAAGACCCCTTTGTTTGCTCCGTGCTTCAATCCCTGAGATTGATAGATGAGACGTGTGACCAGCCACTGCCGAGCTACAATAACCACGTTATGGACCGAACTCCTGATGAAATTGCGTCCGAAGTACCTGGTGATGACATTGAAGTTCTCCCAGAGCCTCCAAGTTATTGCCAGTTGGATGGTTTTTCAAAGCCACCAACATATGAAACTGCCATTCCATCGACATTCTCTAATACTGTCCTGCTAAATGAAGGCTACGCCTGACACAACATGCTGGGTGTGAAGTTCGTGCAGAAAATATTCATATACCTAATCAAGTTTACCTCCTAAACACCTCAACTCTTGCCAACTACATAGGCAAAGGCCTCATCCAGAATCCTCAGGCCCTCCTCAATTTCTTGCGCTGACACCGTCACTGGCGGCGCCAGACGGAAGACTCCTCCCATACCCGGAAGGTTAACAACATTACACGACAACCCACACGCCATGGCTCTGTCTGACACCAACTGACCTAGCTCCGGCCCAGGAGCCTGAGTACTTCGATCGGAGATGATCTCAATTCCCTGCAAAAGGCCCCGACCGCGTACATCCCCAATACACCAGTACTTCTTCTGGAGCTTTAGCAGGCCTTCCCTCAGCTGCCCACCACGCTCCCTCGCTCTCCGGCAGATATCCTCTCGCTCCACAATTTCCAACACCTTGTTCCCCACCGCCGCAGTAAGGGGATCATTTAAGTGTGTCGTCAACCAAAGAAACCCAGCGTCCGCGCACCCCTGAGCAATCTCAGCCGTCGTACTTACCGATGCCAAAGGAAGCCCACATCCTAGAGTCTTTGACAAAGCTAGAATATCCGGGACTATTCCAGCCTGCTCGAATGCAAACTTGTGGCCAGTGCGACCGACTCCTGTCTGCGCCTCGTCCATGATCAGCAACATGCCACGCTTCTTGCACTCAATCGCCATGCGTTGCAAATATGCATCGGGGAGCTCCAAAATCCCCCCAGTCGACAGAATAGGCTCCATAACAAACGCAGCCAACGACCCCACACTCTGCCGGTCAATCATGGACCAACCAAACATCAGCTCCGTCTCCCAGTCATACGTCCCGTCCGCCTTGCGAAAGGGCGAGCGGTATGCATATGGAGCGGGAAAGGCAAGCTGACCTGGCATACATGGACCACCACATTTCCGGCCTGTGGAATACGTTGCTGATCCTGAACCCTGGGTAAGGCCGTGGTAACTGGCGCTGAAGGCGACAACTTCGAATTTTCCAGTGTACGCTTTGGCCATTTTAATGGCAGCTTCGATAGACTCGGAGCCGGTGTTAAGGAAGAAGGACTTTTCGAGGGGCGCAGGGAGAAATCGGGCGAGACGCTCGGCTAGGACCACTACTGGGTGGGTGATCATATTGCTGAGGAGGTGGTCTAGTTTGGCGGCGTATTCCTGAATTGTGGTGACGATCTCAGGATGGGAGTGACCGAGCAGTGAGCTCATCTGGCCTGAGGTAAAGTCAAGGATGCGACGGTTGTTGGTGTCATATAACCAGGTGCCTTTGGCTTCGGTGATGATGATTGGAGAAATAGGGACTCCTGTGGACATGAGGTACTTTTTGGCTTTAGCGAAGAAGGCGGCGGTGGTTTCGGGGGTTGCCATAATGTTCGATGACGAGTACTTTTCTTCGATAATAAATGACGATGGTGCTCAATCTGAACCTGTTTTCCAAGTTAACCCAGGTCTCGTTGGCTATAAGTATTACTTCCCTGTCTCAATGACTGCGGCATAGGGTTCTGCTACCCAACTATTCTAATTGGCTGAGTTGCCCGCGGGCGAAGGTTCCCCGCGGCCACGAAATACTTCGCCTTATCGGAAACACCCCCTCCTTCTACCCTGAATTCCTCGGTTCATAAATCCAGTAGAAAGCCATATTGACAATGCTCACTGGATCCAACGCTACTAAGGGGAACAGTAGCAGCTCAGGCAGACCCTATCGGTCTCATGCGCATCCCGCATGTTTGCCTTGCCGAAAACGCAAGTCGCGATGCCGCACCAGAGACTCCTCGGTGACGTGCATGATGTGTTTGGCTCATGCAACCGAGTGTCTCTTTCCTTCAGCTGACCAGCCTGCTCAAAAGAAGCGAACCGTCAACCTGCAGCGGATTGCACCCAAGACAGCTCGGATTGAACGACCTTCCACCCCTCAGGTCGTACTCCCTTCACCCAGGACAAGCCAACGTTCGGACACACCGCAACTGACGATGCATCACCACCCAGCTCATCTTCCCACAGCATATTCAGATGGCAAGATTGCAAGTTTAATGGATGTGGTTAGCGATACCGGGAACGACAGCTCCCATGTCGTCAGCCCCGTTGTTGCCGATGACAGTAGTATATTGGAAGGATATCTGTTCACAGTTCCGGATAACCGAAGACCGGGCTTGATGCACACCAGTTCGAAACCCAGTCGACTCAGGCGGCAGGTACTGTTCAATACCATTCCGAGACGTCCGCTAGGGGTATACTCCAGTCAATCTCTCCCGTCCATGAAATGCGAGCTTATCGAAAAATACCTCGAGCCCGCGACGAAGGATGTTGTGGGACTGTAAGTCATCGCAAATCATCATTTACATGAGATGCCCAGTTGCTGAGTGCTAGGTCTCCAGGTTCTTTAAATACGCAAATATATGCTTCCCTGTGTTTCACGAGGCGTCGTTCTTGAATGCTTATTGCACTCGCAAAGCAGAGATATCTCCAGCCCTCCTATGCAATCTGTATGCCAACTCGCTAATATACTGGGACAATTCACCACAATTATGTTTAACTCGCACACCCGACATCCGCTATATCTGGAACCAAGCCAACGAGGCTCTTCATTCCGAGCTTTTCTTGTGTCCTGGTATTTCAACTGTACTGGCGATGCTGCTGAATGTCTGCGGCAGACCAAGCACCTCGATCTTTGGCAATGGGGGTATGGTAGGGACAGCGGTAGCCCTATCTAATGCCTTGGGTTTAAATCGAGACCCCTCCCAGTGGAATATCTCTGCCCCCGAGAAGGGATTCCGCATCCGCGTCTGGTGGTTGGTCGTTATTCACGATCGATGGTAGGATATCCCGCTTTTCTACTTCTCTCTTCCACTCTAACATTTACTAGGTGCAGCCTCGCCTACGGAACACCGCTCCAGATTCATCGCGCCCAATACGACGTCCCATTCCCAACCATGGACTATGTCCTCTTTTCTCCTGGAATGCCATCTCATGAAGCTGCGGCCTCAATCTTCATTGCTTTCACAACACTAACTGAGGTACTGGGTCAATACCTAGAATATATCTATCACGTCTCCAGTCCCGTGAGGAAGACAATCAATTCCCTTTCAGACCTCCTCACCAATTGGGAAGAAACCCTCGACACCAAGACCCGCCATATTATCCGCCGCGGAACCAACCTGACCACCCCTGGCGCGGCAAACCTGCGCTTGGCATACTTATCCGTGAAGCTTCTGCTCCGAAGAATTGCACTCGACCTGGACGACGAGCAGACTAAGGCTTCCAGTATTGATGATATGAATGACAGCACCTCTTCCTCTGTTTCATTCACACACGTCGAGAGTGTGGCGGAAGAGATAGTGCATCTCGTAAGGGAGCTAGACGAGCATCAGCTACGTGGGTTTTGGATCCCTGTGCAGGCGTACTCGCTAACATCTGCGACGACATTTCTTCTGCGGAGTGGGCTACACAGAGTTAAATCGCACTCTGTCGAGAGCGGCAAAAATCCACCCTTGGATGTGGCTAAAGAAATGATCGCTACACTACAGTCTCATCGGCAGGAATTTGGGTGGGATCTGGGTGACGATTGTCTGTCAAAGTGCGGCGAGCTGGTAGAAAGGATTGCTTCCTTGTATAAGGATGGTCCGGGCTTGTCTTTGAATGAGGAATTTTCTGATTCATTGCAGCCTTTTGATATAGATACATCGATCCTGGATGACCTGTTCTGGGACATGCCATGTATGGGGAACACCTTTACTTTATAACAACCGTTATTATCATCAACACATCCTTTTCAATATTATATCACTCTATATCTAACTTTATTAAATCTATACTCTATAATACACACTCACACCTATTACCCACTACCCTTTAAACGGCGCAAACCTCGACATCTTCCTCAACCTAACCCCATAAATCATAAACAAAAACGGCACCGGAATGGCCGCCGCCGCAATACCCCCCAAAATGGACATTGCCGGCCCAACCCCCAAATTGCGAAACATGGGCTGCGAGAACAGTGGAAACGCCGCGGCCAACACACTTCGCAGGAAGGTATTCGAAGCCGTCGCCGACGCCGCATAGGGCCCATACGTATCAACCAGGAAATTTATACACTGGCCAAAGATAATACAAAACCCACATCCAAACACCATCGCCGCCACAACCGGCAATCCCCACGAATACTTCGGCTCAGCGGTCCACCCAAACCAGAACAGACCACCGGCGAACAAAAACCCGCCAACAGCCATGGGCATCAAACGCGCCTCGGGGACAGGCTTGCCGCCACCTTCCTCCCACTTGCGGATGTAGTATGGCTGGCCGATGAAGATGATAAAGGCCGACGAGAGCAGAACACCGACGAACAGACCGATGAATGGCAGCGTAGCAACAACAGGCTTCCACTGGCGAATATCATCAAAAACAATCGGAAACACCTCAAGGGTAAGATACAGCAACGCATACGTAAACGACGCATACAGCGCAATCACTGTGACCATTGGCTCAGTGACAAGCATGACCAGCGGACGCGAGAAATGCTTTGTGACGATACTATGTACGTCCACATTGATGTGTTCATGCGGATGATACAGTTCCTCATTCCCGGTCTCCCTGCGCATACGCACCGCCCTGCGGTGTAGCAGCACCGGGCCGTATACCTCTGGCAGACAGAAGAAAGTGATGCCGAAGATGAAGAATACAATGATGGCCTCGATGTACTCGGTCCAGCGCCATCCCAGGTGCGGGTTCGAGACGAGCGCGGCACCGATGATGGGCCCCATGGTTGGGCCGCCGACGACGCAGATGGCGTACGAGGTGCTGGCGATGCCGCGCGCCTTCATGTGGAAGATATCGCCGAGCGCGGCGGAAACATTACTGACTGGTGCAGAGCCGAATAGACCCGCGAAGTATCGGGTGATGAGAATTGAAGCTGTGTTTTTGCTGGTTGCGGTGCCGATGCTGAATAGTCCGAGGACGAATACCGCCGGCAGCATCGACCACCGGCGGCCGAAGAGTTCGGAAATGGGTGCCCAGCACAGAGGGCCGAAGGCGAAGCCAAGACTGTAATGCTCGTTAGTAGCTGTTGGAAGAAAGCTTATACCGGGATTGAATTCAATGACTGGGATATGTTACATACATATAAAGCGACACCGGAAGAATACTAACTTCCGTCCCAATGTTCAAATAAGCCTTAAGCTCGGTCTCCGCCGGAGAGATAATACTCGATCCTAGACTGGCGCTCAACGCCAATAATCCTAGCTGAAACGTGATCCAGCATTTGTACGCTGTCGAAAAGTTATGTGGGTTCTCAGGGTCGTTTTCCTCCCATTTCACTAGGTTAGGATCCGGGCCGCCGCCTGCATGTTCGACCTTGCCCTTTTCAGCATCTGCTGGTCGAGATGATGCTGGTAGCGGCGGTGGTGGAACGACAGTCATTTCTGGGCTGAGATAAAGGCTGAGATGCTAAGGCTGCAACGCACCCTTATTCTCCTTCTCGGCTTCAGATATTTTCTCCCATTTGGTGTTGTTTCGAGGGGGTGACGAAATTCCTACATTTTTTTTTCCCTCTCTGATTCGCCGCTTCGGGGTTTCGGCATGTTGTCCGGTAGTTTTTCTCCGATATGCACGGGGTGGCGTCGGAAGGTCCGAACGGATGGTCCGAAGGTAGGGGGGTTGTTTAAAGGGTGGATGGGTTTGGCTGGGATGGTGCTGGGTGGGTTCTGCGTGTAGTGACAAGTGGGGAGTTTGGCACGACTTTTAGTGGTCTTGCTTGCAAATGCCGAGCCCCCTTTGCATGCCTCCTGGCTGTTTGCGGTGGGCTCGGATATAACATGTTTCGGAGTTATCGGGCGAACATTCTCCGTTTGTAGGCAGTACCCACTCTTTGTTTTGGTGGTAAAGGTTTTATAACTTGTTAAGGGATTCTAGGCGATTTCAAGCGTGTTGGAGTCAGCTGTGAAGGGGAATGGTTGGTCTTTGAAGCTCAAGAAAAGGGTCCAGATTGCTGGGAGTATCCTACACTATGGACTTTTCGTGATAATAGTGGCCCGTCTGGCCCATCTGATGTGCATACGGCATAATATCTGTGCAAATGTTGTAAAGATTACTAGCTGATAAGGCCTTCGAACTTTGATAATGTTTACTGCCTGATAATTTCTAGATAAGCTTAAAGTTAAAGACCACTAAACGTTGCGAATGCCGAAAGAACCGATGGAAATGTCTTGGGGTAAACGTCGAGTAAGGCAAATGAATAGTTGGCACACGGGGGATGAGTTGAACTACTCCGTGATAGAGGCTGCGTCGTCATTACGACATAAGGCATTGAAATTGTTTGGCCTGTTCTCTTGATGGACAACGTCTATGAAACCATCTATATACATCATTTCCACGACTCTTCATGTCAAGCAGACTCCGCTTCATCAGCTCTTTCCCCACTCTCAACCTGACCAAACTCTTGCTGTTTCTGCATCCTCCGCATCAACTCCGCCGCCTCAAATGTATACTTGCACTTCATCCTCAGCACCTCACCATAGCGATACATGACAATAGGAAACGGGATACAAGCCACGGTCAGAAACCCTGGCACACAAGAAGCCCAATGAATTCCCAGATTATGGTACATCTGATTCGTGAATAAGGGAAACACCGCTCCACCGGTCGACCGAACAATAGCCAGAGCCGCCAGCGCAGTTGCCGCATATATAGTATACGAATCGACGAGGTAATTCGTGATCGACAAGCTAGTAAGGATGCACCCGAAACCAAACGGCGCCGAGAGAATGATACTCGCGGACCAATGAATGCTCGGATAATTAGTCCACGCAAAGCCGAAGATACCGATCGGTAAGGCGATGGATCCGACAATGGCTGTAGGGAGGCGGGATTCTGGGGTGGCCTTGCCGGTATTGTATAGTTTCATGTAACGTCTGTGGTAGTCGTAGCCAGCATACACTAGTCCTAGGATCTCTCCAATTGCAAGGCCTAGGAATGCGAGACCGCCAATCCCTTCAGACCAGCCACGGTCTTCGTTGTATCCGATTGGCATGGCGCCCATGAACATGTAAGTCGTTCCGTAACCTAGGGCTATGTAGATGGAAGCGACGGTCACGATTGGTTCATGCATGAGTAGGACCCATGGTCGGATTAAGGCTCTTTGGAAGACTTCGGAGGGCTTCTTCTTGCCCTGGTCGCGCTCCAGGATACTAACGTGGACTTTTCCGGTGGATTTGGTTAGAAGTTTAGCCTTTCGGAGTAGCAGTACTGGGCCGTATGTTTCTGGGACGAAGATGGTGCCGATGATGCCAATCACTCCTACGAAGATACAGCACATCCCCTGCACCCATCGCCAGCCCACGTTCTCAGATACGAATCCGCTGATAATAGGGCCGACAAGTGGTCCTAGTAAGGGTGCGAAGGAGTAGACTATCATTGCTAGCCCTCGCTGCACTGGCGGGAAGATATCTGCGATAGCGCCCCCTGCGTTGACTAATGGGGATCCTCCAAAGGTGCCGCTGAAGAATCGTAGGAAAAGTAGGGTGGTTATGTTGCGGCTTCCGGCGGTACCTCCGATAAACGCCACCATGCCGATGTGGGAGATTATCCAGAAGATCTTTCTGCCGTAGAGTTCTGATCTGTTATTTGAATAAATATTGATACAGGGTAGATATATGATTGTTGAGGGAAGCTCACTGAGGGGTATTATCAGTATGTTGTTCTATGTGATATGGATTCAAGACAAATACTCACCAGAGGTGCCCATACTGCCGGCCCGACAGCAAATCCCAAGATAAAGAGGCTTATCCCTACAGAAAAGACCTCCGTGCTGATATTGAAATCTTTGATTATTTCATCGCTGGAGTCGGAATACGCGGAAGACGTGAACGTAACGGCGAACACAGAAGAGGTTACAATGAAAGCGATAAACCATTTTCTTGAGGCCGACCAATTCATAGGGTTCTCTTGATCATCTCTTTTGAACTCCACGATGAAGGGATCTGTGCTTGTTCCTTGCCCGTTATGAGCATGGGACTGTTCAGTCCCACCATGACTGACTCCTATCGCAACCTCTGACTTGGGAGACATGTTTTTGGCTGCTGTGACACCACACGGAAAGCAACAAAGTCGGATACATCGTTTCTAACAGAATTGCTTGAAAACAGTTAAATCTAGCAAGAGTGGCGTGGCCAGGTCATCCAAATCCCGTGTCGGCAATTAATCGCCTCTCAGATTCCGATAATATTAATTCTTGCGTCTGGTTAATCTAATCGCACTCATATGATCAATTACTTGCATGATTGTGCATACTGCAGCTGTGTTATCTGCTAGTTGGCGGCCAGATTGCGCAATAAGAAATATATTGATCACTGTAGATCATTTACCGCAATGGTACCTGATCTACGATCTGCATCTCCCAGGGACCCAATTTCCTGCAGTCATGTTCAGCTTCAGTTTCAGCTCGCAGCTACGCACTGCACCGGTCGCCCTGCGAGGTCATTCGGTGGCGCTACAGCGCATATCAGCGGGTTGGAAGTCAGTTGGTTTTAGAAGTCGTTTTGCAGGGTTCAAACCTTTGAAGCATTTGTTTTTCTTCTTGTTTTCCTGTTTTGGACACAGTTCAGCGCAGCGGTTGATGGTCGGCTACCAGTGACTTCGCCGATGCACGACATTAACCAGTCTAATAATTTTGAAGTATTCTGGTATTGAAACAAGTAGACTCCATAAACGTTAAGTTTATGCGCATGCGTATGTATGTACGAAGATTGACTCTCAAACCCAATCAATCCCTGCAAAGTCAGTTCTAAATGAGTCCGGGCTGTGAGTCAGCAGACAGATTAGATGGGCGGACAAGAAGGTAAGAAGAGGGGCTCAAGAACTAGCAAACGGACTTCTATGAGGGAAGATCTCTAATGTATGTGCTATGTACAAATTGCGCCGAGAAGCTAGAGAAGCAGGACATTGAGGGTCCGACTGCAACAACTCAAATAGGAACCCTCTTCAGGCTAGTGGTCCTCGCACCCAATTTCAAATCCCGAGTGAATCAGCCCTAGGCATGAATTTCCACCCGTAGTTTGGCATTAAACTATACAACACGGAACCCGTTAGTACAAGGTCAGCACTAGACCCTTCCTAAGACCAATCACAACCAACATCCCTATCCAAATTGCACAGCTCTATCACTCCCTATCTCAATTCCCCCCATAAGCTATAATCCACGTAGTCACTATTTTGCTACTAGCACTCACCACCCCCAACCCTGCCCTATCCATCACTTCGTCACAACCCTGTCCTCACCATCCCCATGCCTCTCTGGCACCCACTTCGGTCACATCACGATAGATGGCGTTCGAATGTACCGCCCGCATGACAAGCAATCAACGACACTCTCCAGCCTGTCATAGCGATCATAGGCGGTCTGGTCAGCTGCCACGGCGAATGAGTCGTAGTGCAACGCCTTATCGCCGAACACGCCCGTGTATATACCTAGGACCGCGCAGGGTACGGCCTAAGCGATGTGTCTCCGCGCGAACCTACAGCCCAGAACCGCGTGTATGAAGTGACCCGGTTACCAGAGGTAACAGGGACTGAGCCACTCTATATACTGGTTGGGTAGTCATATGGCGGTATCTTGATCCGGGAGTTTCTTCGCATGCATATCAAGTCGAAAGTGGCGGGGATGATGGTTGTTGATTCTTAGGGAGAACCTAATCCGTTACCGCGGGGATGGTTTAGCTTGCTGGGTGGAGTTGGGTTTGATGTGGTTTTGGGGTTAGACGTGAATTATGCATTCTCAGCGGAGGAGTATGAGAGAATTAAGGAGGATGAGGTAAGAGTATATTTCATGTTTAGGAGGGGTTTGTAGCAAAGATTATGGAAGAGGTTAATGCTGGATTGCTGCTGGGGTTTCAAGCGCTGGGTGATGGACGATTGAGCGTGGTGTTTGGAATTCGATCGGTGGATTTTCGTAAAGATTTGGAATTTGGGTTTGCAAATGGGTGTGGTACCGAGGAGGCGAGGAGAAATCTTGCTGCGTGGTTAGAGACTATTGAAAGGGTTGATGAGGAAACTCAGAGGGCCCATCTTGGATTGTCGACTGAGAGTCGGTTTGTCTATGCGCAGAGGAAAGCCATGGCGCATAATGTGCACTATATGGCCCCGGAGCGGATTAGTGATGAGGTTTTGTGGGTATTGGGTCTGACGGGTCGGCAGTTTGATGGTTAGGACTGCTCGCTAATACGTAAGAGGATATAATTATTGTTATGGCTTTGTATGCTTTAGAACCTCTATGGTAAGTAATACAGTATGAACGGACATATTTATGAAAAAACTACACCAAGTATAGACAACGGAGAACTGGAAGGAGTTCTATCACACACATAATTCCCAATAACAACCCGAAACGCCATGCCATGCTCCAAATCACAACCCAGTCTCCCATAACTCCGATGATGATATAGATGGCGTCCCTCAAACAGCCGACTGACTGTCCTCGGTTTTGACCCTATTATCCCTCGCCATCCAATGCAGATCCCTTAGTCTCAGCTGCCGCATATACACTCTCTGCTCTGCGGTGGGATCAAAGTCCCGCTCTAGGCCGTAAAACCCATTGGTCATAAGGTAGTGTGTGGAGTAGCCGGATAGAGTCAGCATTACACAGCCGAGAATGACAAAGAAGATGACCGCCGCGTCGCCAATGTATGCCATGATCGATGATTGATTTCGGTTTGTGTTGCGTGATACTTCGGTACAGTAAAGGAGTTTTGGTGGCGGTGGTGCTGCAGCGGGAAACAGTTAGATCATGTGAGAATAGTATATGTTTGGTCTGTCTTACTTTGGTAGTAAGTTGGTCTGAGTCCGTCGACTAATGAGTGGAATGTCTCAATTGAGAGGTAGGAATGAAAACACGCCGGTAGTTATTATGAGAGGCAAATGCAAAAGAACGATAGTATTATATCATGTAAAGAGCGACAGAATGCAATTCTGAATGTAGAGAGCGACAAAAACGTAGAAGAAGAAGGACTGAACTTTTAACTCTCTTTTTCACGTTCATCATCTCCCCCCTAACTCAGTAGTATTTATATCTCTACCACATCAAACATCACAGTCTCTACTAAAGTATCTCCAAACATTCCTTCGGGGCCAGAACGTCGAACTACTCCATATACAGTCTAGCCTCTAGCTCTATGATGTCATTAGCGAGCTGGCCAATCAGATTATCTGAGTTCGATCAGAAAAGGGTTTAGCGTTAAGAGTATGTTAGTGCTTAGTATTGCCAAGTCTAAATAAGGAAAGTCTTGATTTGCGGTTCCTGACTGAAAGGATCCGAGATGGAGGTTAGACCAGCCTAATTTTCAGTTTCTGATTCGTGAGATCCGTGCCAGAGTTCTGGCATCTGGATAAGAATAGACGGAAGGATGAATAGGTAAAGCCGGGATTGAAGCCGAGTTTAAATTCGGATATCTAAATTCCTAGATGGGTAGTTGTGTGCCCGGGATACCTTGGATGGTGGATCTGATGGACCCCTTTTCCATTGATTTTATTACTACAGATGTTGAAACTGTAATGAAAATTGTCCCCTCTGCAAGACTCATAGGATAAAGAAGTTGCTCTGACTGACAGTTAATTTGGGAATAATTGCCACGATTGTTTTTTTTTTTTTTTTTTTTTTTTCCCAGCCATCCGTGCATCCTGTCGACGCACTAACCGCTAGACCAACAACGATATATCGCATAAATCTAGGCAGGTGACGGAGAGATATGTATCCCAACGTTATCTACTTACGAAAAGCAGGTAGCAATATTGATGAAAGGGTAAAATTGTCAATCTTTGTCAATCAAGCAAGACTTTTGCTCCCCCCCCCACTCCATCATCACTCACTCATATCGCACACTCCATATTACTCTAGTATCCCTCCTCATCAACACTATACTCACGATACACAGTCAAACTAAACCTTGCAAACGCACTTCTAGCTCTAATACCCCTCCCGTACCTCGAAAACAACGGCGGTACAACACAAAACACCGTTGCAACCGCCGCCAACACCGAAACACTAAAATTAGCCCCGAGCCGATCCAACATAGGCGCCGAGATCAGCGGTAACGCAGCAGACAATAACGCCCTCACCAGACTCAATGCAGCCAGGCCACTCGCCGCATAGCTGAGGTAACTATCCGTCAGATACCCGCCGAGCACGTAGTCCATCTCATTGAGACTATACCCAGCCAGCACGAGAGCTGCGACCGACACAAGCCAAGGGAGATTTGTGACAGCTGGCGGGATAGTCCAAGCGAAAAGCCACAGTGCCGCAGCGAGAATGGGTGCACCGATCCAGAATCCTGTCAGTTTATCTTCTGGGAGGAGTGGTCGGCCCTGAGCTCGGTGGTGAGCGATGATGCGCAGGTCGAGACAGCGGGTGAGGAGGCCGAGAGTGAGGCCTAAACCGATTGCGATAAAGGGGAGGCAGGCTTGCTTAGGAGTGAAGCCGAATGATTCGTAGATGGGCGGTAGAGCTTCGGTGAAGAGGTAAACTAGGGCGATGGCAACGGCGCTGATGATGGAGACGGTGAAGACGATGAGTTCGGTGAAGAGGAGCCGGATAGGGCGGAAGAGCGCGATGCGGACGAAGCTGCGCAAGTCGGGGGCTTTATCGGGGTTGAGGCCTTCCAGGGTGTCGATTTTGGTGACTTTGCGAAGAGTAGCGACTTCGCGGGCGAGGAGGAGGGAGGGACGCGATTCATTCAAAGTGAGTAGTAGGAGTGTCAGGATTCCGGTTACCATGGCTGCAATGTAGAATAACCATCTCCTGGTGCGGTTTTAGTGAGGATATTGGTGGATTTTAGGGAAAGGGGGAGGGGGTGGGGGATACCATTGGGTGTAGGCCACGACAAACGTACTGAGAATGGGACCTACAACGAGACCTAGGTTGGCGAACATAGTCCAAATACAGATGACCCAGACTCGCTCGCGGGAGTTGAAGGTGTCTTCGATGCTACCCACTACAACAGTCGTGGGAATGGCGGACAGAAAGCCACAGAGACATCGGCCAATCGCTACTCCTACCAATGATGGCACGGATGCAATCAAGATGCATGATAGGCCGTAGAGGGCCGAGCTTGCCACATAGAGCTTTTTTCGACCAAATACTTCAGAGTATGGGGGAAATACGACACCCCCGATGGCTTGGCCGATAAGATATCTGAGAAGTCAGCCTGGGTGTACTGGAGGAAGCAAGTGAGTACTAACATGGAAACAAAGAGAAAAATTGACAGGGTTCTTGAAATTTCGAAGTCGTGCACAGCATTATTAGCCGCAGTTGACTATATGTTCAGCAAATGTACATCTCTATAATAGTTTGATTACCCACGCCAGCGGTGCTGATAGCAGTTCTGGAATAATTAGTCTCGGTATGATCCAAACCAGGGGACTTCATACGTGAAGAATTCCAGGAATATGATAAGCGTAGTATCATAGACCTTGCGTCGCAAGCTCCAGTTTCGCGGATGTCGACAATTTCCCAGAGCCCACTGTATATGGACTCCGTCCGGGGCGAGCTTGAGGCCATACTGGGGCAGCAGCGCCAGAAGTGTTTCCTTTTCGCTCTCCACAGGGGCCGTGATGACCCGGGAGACGGTTTTCATTGTGAGAACCTGAAAAGACCTCGAGCATACGGATCCCTATGCTGCCGGACTTGGGGTGTAGCTATATACAAAAGCCTGTCTTCAATATGAGCTCCTAGAAGCACGAACTCTGAAGTAGTACACATTATCTAGCAAACAGAAGAGACCAACAGCAAACGAATTGTGACAGGGTTACACAGTCACCGGCTCATTATGGGGATAGGCCTGATCTGTCCGGGGAAGCGGTTGATCTCCTTGATCTAGATTCAGTCGGGATGTCGCCAGTGAAGGTCAATTGGTAGAAGCCTATCATACTCATGATGCTGCAGCGGTCTGTGGGATCTTTTTCTTAGTTGGAAGCACAGGTTGTCTGTGCGGTATAGCACTCCGTGGTCTGTGTCTGCCTTCGGTCCGGTACCACGTCGGGAGGTAAAGGGCAGCGGCATTTCGCATGTGCCAAACTTTCACGCATCCAATCGATGAGCTTGGCCCGGCATCTGGGGATCGGCTGGATAAAGCCTCATGCACAGCCTGTTTGCGGTGTCGGCAAAAGTCGAACTGCGGATATTACAAGAATGAATTTGGCGTTTCCAGACACACTCTGTTTCGCATTTAAACTAGTCTACTTCCTGACCCACTATTCTAAACCATGTCTGCTCGTATCACGCACCTAGTCCTCATCTCCATCATTATCACCCCCATTTGACACGCCGCTGTTTCCGTTGTAGGCCAGTAGATTGGGGCTACCGGCAACATTGGTGACAGCATTCCGCGTAGCCAGTCTCTTGAGCTCAGCCGTTGCGGCCGCTGGGGTAGCCATGTTCCGCAAGCCCATCAAATAAATGACCAAACCTGTCACATGGGGTGTGGCCATGGACGTACCGGAGATGGTGTTGGTAGCCGAGTTGGAACCGATCCACGCAGAAAGGACTTGCTCTCCCGGAGCAAAAATGTCAACTACGGACCCATAGTTTGAAAATGACGCACGGGCATTGCTTCTGCTTATAGCGGCAACAGTGACAGCGTCGGGTGCAGAAGCCGGGCTAGTCCGTGCTGCATCTCTCTGCAAAGCATCAGTGAAACTTTCTCCGAAGGTTGGACAGTCTAACCGAGCGTACATTCTCATTTCCAGCGGCAACACAAGAGAGTACACCCTCGTCAAAAGCATTCTCAACTGCATTATTGAAAGCATAGGAGTATCCTCCACCTACCTCATGGTTAGCAACATTCAGCCACCAGGGAGGGCGACATTACCAAGACTCATATTGATCGCTGCTTTGCTGGTCCGATTCTTGCTCACAATATCATTGGCCGCCCAATTGAAGCCATCCAGAATGACCGATGTCGAGCTTGATTCACCCACAAACACCTTCACGGATAGTAGGTGAGCGTTTTTCGAAACACCGTATGTTTTGCCGCCAATGGTCCCTGCTACATGTGTGCCGTGACCAACACCATCAACATGTTCACCCCCTGCAGCATTGTATGCTAGGCTAGCACGACCACCAAACTCATTATGTGTAGCCAAGATGCCGGTATCCACTACATAGGCATAGGTACCCTCGCCAGCGCTGTCATCATAGATGTAATCGGTGCTAGACGCACCCCGGTGCGAGATACTGCCCAGTCCCCAAGGAGCTCGTCTTTCGGTAACTAGCGTATCGAGGTACCATACCTGATCTTGTTCCACGTAAGCCACCTGTACGCCAATTAGTTCAGGCTTCACGGCCTCGGACAATTAGGTCTCAAACATGGTCATGTTTGCGGATCTCCTCGATAGTCTTTTCATCAAAAGACCCCGCGTACGCAGCAAAATTGGCAATTTTATATGTTCTTTCAATGCCAGCGGGAAGGTCATCGTCGGGTGTACTGCGGCCTTCTATGCTGCGTCTGTGGAGCTCCGTTACCCATGCAGAATGGGACTCAATTTTGGCGTTGTCAATGCCGGACTTGAAAGTGACAATGTACTTTCCCGGGATGGTCTGGATGGTCGAGTGAGGGACCTGCTCTGTGGCACTGAAAACTGCAGGCAAAAGCAGGGCGAGCAGCGGGAGAATGCGTCTGAGGAATGCCATGTTGAGCGAGTGGCTGCCGAAAGAGGAGATTTGTCAATGACAGACTTGAATGCTTAAGTTCAGTAGTGCAATAGATAGATCTCTTATAGTCTCACAACAAAGTCTAAGTCCTGTTGTCTAGGCCACGGTTTCAGTCACATTCACCTTTGGCCGATTGTCATCAAGTGGGGACCTGGTCAGAAGGCACTTGGTCAGTATATTTAAAACTCAGTCAGATGGTCACATTGCACCTTCGGACTACTGGGTTATGCCCCGTGAGGAAAGCATCATGCATGCATAGAATACAGATAGCATGCAGGGATAAGATTACGGACACATTCCGTTTCTGGGGCAGCTTGACCAGCTGTCCATTAGCTTCTCTATAGGCTGTTCTATTTGCTGGGCGTTAGTAACAATGTACTCATCCTTATGACACAACACATAGTAGGAAGACCTATTGCCGGGTTCTAGACAGCGGCTCTACACTGCAAGAAGCGTCCATATAAATAAAGGTCACTCAAAGAGCCTTGTACGGGCGGGGGATGGTGAACAAACTATTCGTCAGCCAATGTAACCTATCATTACTTGGCATCTTCACGCGATAGCATCTAGGGTTGTTCAGCTTCTACATCAGGTAGATCCTACCCCAGCGACTGGAAGAATTGTGAGGGATATTTACAACTCTACTGTAGGGGGCGGGCATATGTGGGTGACTGAAAGGAGTGTATTGTTACCCAGTGTTACACGGCGTTTGGGCACAAAAATAACCTCTTATTAACCTGTACATGCAGGCGTATTAGTGGTTCAACAGCTCTTGACATCGTCGAAAGGGACTTATATCCGAAGGTTTTGCAACAAATGCCTTCTGCCACTCACATGGCCCCAGACGGTATCGGTTCCACTGAAACGCCATTTGAGTTGCACATGCCTAGAAGACCTTCTGATACACTCATACCAGAATATTCAAATGTTAATATTCTGGCTGATGAGATAATTCAGATACCAGCGGGTTAGGAGATAATCACAATCCGTCGTAAACCACACCCGGTCCGGGGAATCTATATCTGCGCCGCCCGGCTGAGGTCCGGATAACAAGCTAGGTATATGCAGGGCCAAGCGATGTCATGCTGTCCACTATGGGGGGCCCAAAGTGCTGGGGCCCATAGATGCAGAGACGTGGGACGCACCTCCCCTGCATTTGCGACATTTGGAATCCGTCCAACATCACGGGGTCGACCGTCAGGCTCCGAATGATCATTGGTAATGTCTCTGGGTGGTGTGCAGCACAGACGGTCACGACAACTTACTAGCTTCTCTCCTGCAAGTCATCTTCCATTCAAGCTGCCTTAGCGTGTCCGGTGACGGCGGGATAGGGGCTGTCTGACAGACTGCATATAGCTTTCTAAATGACTGTTGCATTGAGAGATGGCTGGGGGGGGCCGTGGCCGGGAGAGTCTCTGGGAGTTGCTTTGTTTGACACAGGAGCGTGTTGGGTAGAACAAGAGAATGTGGTGGGAGGTTGACGTTGCAAGCGTGTTCCTTGGCTGGGGTCTCGTTTCACAGGTCCCGTGATGTTGTGTTGCTATCATTCATATCATCCTCTTGAAAAGAGGAGAAGTCGTTAGCGGTAAGCTATAAGTTTCTATGTACGTGAGAGTTTATCTGCACTAGTGAATAGACCGCAGCTCTAATCAAGTCTGAGACTAGATATGTCGAGGTAAAGCAAAAGGGGAGGATGCTGTACTGAACAGCAACGATCGGATAGAAAATGTTTGCTTCCAGTACAGTCGCCATTGAAAATTCTGCATCCTCCAGGAATTTAAAGTGCCGTTCACCCAAGGGCTATGCGTTTATTCTGGTGCTTTCACGCTCTCACTGCAAGCGTTTGTTACTTGGCTCAAATTAGACTGGACCAAAGCAATGACGATTGATGGGTGAGTGGAAAACTATGCTATACTGTATAGCTGTTAAAGTAGAGCAGGAGGGTCCTGCACTTATATACTCAAAGAATTCATAGGATTCTTCAAGCCCAGGATGTCTCTATCAAGTCTGCCCACTCACATCTAATTCGGAGAGGGTATAGTGAATGCTGACAACAAGCGGCTCCGGAGTATCAAATGGGCGGTCAGTCTCTGCCACAATAAGCCTTCACCGCCGTAAAAGGGCAATCGGGCCGATTTCCCAATCCAATTGTCGCAAACAATCAAGATTCCCGAAAGAGCGCCAAGCATTGATCGCCAGATCTTCCCTATCTTTCGATCTTGAACTTCTCTTGTGCTTACTCGTATATGGTTTTGCCTTGTTCCTCCATCTACCTACTCTTCGATTCTATACTGCCTGATGCCTTGAAGATGAAACGTAGCGTGACCTGGTCTGTCAGTTGAAGATATATATTTGTAATGTCCGATATGCGCGCCATCCACTACCACGGTATATAGTCACACTACTTTAATAACTACAACGTTTCTCACTGTATTAGACACTACCAGGAACTACAAATGCTTGCTACTAGTATTGTGTTATTACCAATCCCCTAGGACGATGTTGTGTCTATCATATAGCGCTCCAGCAGGATGACCATCCCTGTTAGGCTGGGCGCAGCCACAAGCCGCCAGACTTAAAAGGTACTACTTCCGCCAGCTCCCACGTCATCTCTCCCGCTTCTGCACCACCTCAACAAAGAGGCAAGACACCTTATCTAACCACTTCGTTAACTTCCCATCGTGGTCTGGGTGACACAGTGTCTATTTCTCACCAAGCAAGCCATGGCCACTCCTAAAAGTGGCTTCGTCATAGGCGCACTCACGGTGGCCATAGCACTTTTCGCCATATACCTCTCATCATTTACTGATGTTCTTGTTGAAAATATCACTGGTTACTGCGGACTCGTCTTTCCGAAAACACCCGTCTCACTACCCAGAGTTTATGACACTCATCATGGCATCGAATATATTGGCAGTCTGTCAAATGATGTAGAACATTTCCAAAACATCTTCTATGCAGAGGAGCCAACTGGTCTCCGACGCTTCGCTCCTCCTGTTCCAGTCCGCCCGTCGAAAGGGTCCGTGATCGATGCATCCCAGCCTGGAGCGTGGTGCCCCCAGGGCACAGGTGATATCCTGCCTTTCACGAGTAGAGTGTCAAACATCAGCGAGAATTGTCTAAGCTTGAGGGTTGCTCGCCCGACCGGTGTCAAAGAACAGGATAGACTTCCTGTTGTGGTGTGGTTGCATGGAGGTAAGTAGATTCATACTCTACTGATTTTTAGGTCGAGACTGATGATCATAATGCGTAGGTGGCCATGCTCTGGGTTCTGCTTCTGACATCCTTTACAACCCGGAAGGGCTGCTTCAGGGGGCCGTGGCGGCGGGGAAGCCGTTGATATATGTCGGAATAAACTACCGATTAGGATGTAAGACATATACATTGTGCGCACATGTAGATGTTGTTGACAGTCCCAAGTCTTTGGATTTGCGACCAGTAGGGCCATGATTGAGAAGAAGCAGACGAATGCCGGACTGCGGGATCAGCGCGCTGCATTGGAATGTATGTGGACTCGTTTATGCACTACGGAATCCCTGCTGACCCAATGACCAGGGGTTCGAGACAACATCGAAGCATTTGGGGGCGACCCCAGCAGAGGTACAACAACTGAATCATGCCATGCCATAAAATAGGCACGGGCAACTAACGCATCTATAGTAACTGCCATCGGGCAGAGCGTTGGGGCCAGTGACATCGGCTTGCACTTGACATCTTTCAATGGCACCAAAGGTGTCCCATTCCAACGAGCCATGTAAGTTCACTAATCTAAATCTGCCTTCTTCCAGTTATCTAACATATAAAGCATGATGTCTGGAGCCCCGGGTCTCAACTTCAACAGTGACTCAACTTTGGTATCAGAGAACACCGCAAACATCGCGCGTGAGGTTGGTTGCGTTGCCACCAACGACGCCGAATCCTCCGAGACCCTTGAATGTCTTCGACGTATCCCCTTCGAAACTCTAACAAATCTCTCCGTTACGTCGTCACGTGCAGCTCGTCCCCCATTCGGAGAAGGTTTCTTCTATCCGACCATTGATGGCGACGTTCTCCCCGCCCGACCTTCTGAGCTCCTACGTGCGGGCAAGTTCGTCAAAGATATTCCTATCATTGCTTCGTGGGTCACCAACGATGGAGCCTGGTATGCCCCACCAACAACCTCCACCGACGATGAAGTGCTTGCTAGCTTTGGACTATGGTTGTCGAAGCTCTCCCCTGCCACAAAAGAAAGACTTCTAGCTTTATATCCGGTCACAGACTTCGCGCATATGGTCCGCGAAAGGTACGACGGCCCTATATCATCCCAGTACTACCGCGCCGCGCAAATGAATCGCGATATCTGGTTCACCTGTCCAGTGCTTGATTTTGCATGGCAGTACGCTCAGAAAGGATGGACCACCACATCTAAAATATGGCTCTACGAGCATAATGCGACCAGATACGCGCCAGTATTCGAAATGATGGGCGTACCGATGTGGCGCGTTGCTCATCTCAGTGATATTCCCTATGTCTTGAACAATGCTAACCTGGAGGGTGGGGCTGATAACTCCCCAGAACAAATGGAGTTGGCACGGGAGGTGAGCAGACAGGTGATTGGGTTTGCGCATGATGCGAGTCCGAGTGACACATGGCCTGCTGCATTCTCAGGGATGAGTGAACAGGGACTTTCCAAGAAATCTCCTGATCAGCTGTCGATTCAGGTTTTCGGGGGTGTTATGGGCTCGGGGGCGATCGGAGTCAGCAAAGACGCGGATGCAGGAGGATCTACAGAAGCAGAGAAGGCAGTTTTATGGGAAAGGCTGTTTGACCGGTGCGAATTCATCAATAGTGCGCGGATGCGAGCGGAGGCTGGAGTATAGTCTTACCTGCAGGATTTTAACCCTACTGTATGCCTGCCATGAGAGATTTGTGGAAGGTATAGGTTATGGGAGCAATAATATCTAGATGCGCGTACACAGACGTTATTATGCTTCATAATCATCTCGTCCCTTCCCTTTGCTTTGCTATGTTGTTAATAGAAAACCCCTCTTCAGATGACATGAGTGGAGATGAAAATCAGACAGGGTATAATGGGACGGGAATAAGCAAAGAGGAGGTGGCATTGTGCAGGACAACCGGTCATATCCGAACTACAAAAGCCTGATACAGACGAGCTATCTGACTTAAAGGCAAATGTATGTAATGTCAGAGGAAGGGTCAAAGAAATATGGATTTGATCTATCTAGATCTCAAGGGGTTGGGTGGTTCTTTGGTTGGAAGAGGTGGTGGTCTGAGACCACGCAGGAAGAAGAGGCGAAGGATCAGCTGACAGCTGCCTGACAGCAGTGAATGTCTCAACATGTAATGTGTGATATAACTGGGTGGTTGGACCGATGATTACCTCTAATTGTACAGTAGGAGACTTTCTTCGGTTTTAAATCCTGATTTCAATCGCACTAGGAAGTATAGCAGACTAAAGCATGTCAACAATGCAGAAAGCTCAGAATTGGTTGTGAACAGCTGGGATGGCTGTATACCCCTCCTTCTTATGTCGAATGAGCATCCAGCTCCGATAATCGCTCGTGGTCTTTGCTTTTTTGGACGCCTCGTCGTTGAAAGCAAACCCCGGATTCAGGCAACCGAGCGAGATAGTGCACGACGCATCTATTCATAGACTTATGGCCTCATCTTGACATCCCGGAATTCTGGTGAGGTCCACTGGGCAGAAGTGGTGATTGGGCGGTGTCACAATCGATGAGTAAATGGAATAACAGTCGCAGAGGCATTCGTGTAGATGAGGTCCCGGGGTCACGTAAGTAGTAGCAGAAGAATCCCGTATTCAGCTGGGAGTACATGTAGTACAAGTGGTTAAGGAGTGGTCAAGCGTGAAGTAGGCCCATCGGTTAGTACATGGCAGAAAGCCTATTGAGTAGGGATTTGCTCCGACGATCTAAAAGTTGGTCATGTTATACTGTATGGCCATCAAAGGCTCGTCATGCAATATCATGGCCAATACCAGACTGGTTAAGTAGATATGGGTGGTTGATTGGAGATAGGTATTATGCAAGCTCTCTGCCTGCAAGGTCCCTCAAACCCATCACATCACCCTTGATGGTGCAGTCAGACAGCGACAAACCGCAGCACAGAAGGTGCGGACAAAGATAGCTTGGTTCGGGATTTGAATTTGCAGTCAAGATAAACTAGCACTGCGCCCCCGGCCCTAGCCGTGGGGGCATGCATGGGTCCCCTAGTCTATCCCGAGTCATGTTTCTGACACCAACATGACCTAGACCAATATGAATTGCCACTCTTTAGATCCACTTGATGTGATGAAGGGTGTTTTCCCCACTTTGTACTCTGGTCACGATCCTGATTGACAGAGAGATGAATCCTGCTCGAGTTAATCGCCAGATGGATGGCTAGGGAAAGAGGGGCCGGGCCTTCGATCGTGAGATTCCCGCAGACTTCCACGGAGCTCATACCTCTTCAGGATCGTCTTGCATCTTGCATGTCCTTTGGTTATGTCGTTGCAAGCGGAGCGGCCTGTCCGCCCCGATTCGGGGACCTGCCCTTCAAAATCACAACCGGAAAATACAACCGCAGAGCTTCTAGACAGTGAATCTCCAAAGATTGTCTTCTTTATAGTTTTGATAATAGAAGTTATGGTAATGAGGGGTCTTTGTGTCGCAGCTAACTTTAGACTAGGATACTTTGCAGGGGCCCTGCAAGGGAGACACGACTGATGCTGTCGCACTCAAAAGACAATTTTGGAAAGCAGAGCAAATCCCTTCGGGATATGGAATATGCCCTAAAGATGCCACTAGGTCTGGCACCGGGATTTGGTTGGAGTATAGCATGCCACACCCCTGCGATCTTGACAATAACAGTCATGTACTACAATTTGCCACTGTACACTATTACGCATGGTGTAACTAGAATTGGCAATCATGCACAAGAACCTGGTTGATACAACCTCATATTGCCAATGATAGGGCAAACACAACCCAGTACCCCTCACTCAATGTGAATGAAGCACTTACCAGATATGCCATTTTCGTTTCTACAGCCAACCAAAGCGTGTATCACGAAGTCGATATCACCGACTGCTAAAACAAGGCCGTATGCTTGCTATAAATCCCCGTCCCTGCCCCAGAATGCTCAGATCCTTTCATCCAAAGAAGACCGAAGTGCGAAGCTCCAGCTTCTCAGTTACTATTATCCTTAGCAAGCCGCAGCCCGATTTCTCTCAATAATGAGCTCCCTCGTCTCAAACGTCACCAAGGCAGCAACCACGGTTGCCACAGCTGCTACTGACGCTACTACGTCGGCTGCTACCACTGCTGCCAAAGACACTACGAGCATTGCTCAGAACTTCAGCAAAGAGCTGGAAACCCTTCTATCCAGTTAGTATCTCGTGAGGCTGGACCAGCGTGATCATCGCTGACCGTCACAGACTTGACTGGCGAAACACAGCAAGTACTTCACGTCTACTCCTACGACACTCATACCAGGGTAATCAAGGAGAAGGCCTGCATTGCCATGAAAAATGCGGATCCAAGCAAGATGAAGCTTTCCAATGTCCGTGAACTGCTAGTCAGCGAGAAAGTCCTAGAACCCAGACTGTATGTAGCATTGGACGGGAACTACCACACATGCTAAGAAGTGCCGCAGGCTTTGGAGTACCTTTTGCAACCAACGTGGAGCAAAGGTCCTGGACAGCCATAGCTTTCAAGCATACCTTGATATCTTGAATGAGAAGGTGAGCGCCATCTGGCCTAGAAAGACTGGTTGCTAACCCGTTGCAGTCAAGTGAAGCTGGCGTGAGTTCGATGATTCTATCTGCGAGCTTTTATACTCATAGACTATAGGAGATCGCGGCTGATAATGCCGACACTTACCGAGTATACCTGAGATATGAAGATGATCAGGTTTCCTTCCCTTGGGGCGGCAAAGTCATCGTGGACGTAAGTGACAGAATCATGTCCTCGATTACCTCGTATTTCTCACACCCTATGCAGAACAAGATCGCAGGCGTGTCTGCTACTGAACAGCCTAAGGCTCCCCAAGTGCCCACCACGTTCAGCCACAACATCTTTACCAATCCAAACACCACCTTCGCTGTTGTGTAGGTCACACTCCCGATGCGAACGGGACGATAGACTGATCCTGCTACCAATTAGCCACCCAGCAGATATGTCGGAGAAGCACTGGAGTGTTGTCATCCGTAACAACAGTCTTCTCAACGCTCACCAGGTCGTTGAAGTCGATGGCAAGGTGGGAAAGCTTGTGGAGCGCTCAATGCATGCCGGTGAGTCATCATATAACAAGCCCATACGTGCCTCTCAACTCATGTCACTGCATAGCCTTTATTCTTAAGCCCCGGCCTTTTCTGAACTACCAGATCTCCGACAGTGCTGCGTCGGACTCTATTGCTAAACAGAAGGTAGCCCAGTATTATCTTCATGCAGCAAATTTGTTGACTGACAACTTCACCCTTAGCAAATGCTGAGAATTCCCCGCTTCCGCATCGAGGATGACTCGTATGTTGAGCAGTTTGAGAAGACAAAGTCTGTCTCGCGTGCTATTGCACAGAGCTCTTTGTCGCAGACTGCAGCTGAGATGGCCGTGTAAGTCCCTCCATGTATTAGATGGCCCCAGGCTAACAATAAAACCGTAGTTCAGGAGGCGCGTTTGGCTACAAAGCCAGTGCATCCGCCAGCTATAGCGAGAATAACTCATCTTCTACGGCTTCTACCTCAAGTGAAGATACTAAAGTACTGACAATTACTTACAATGTATGGAATCTTCACAGCTTTCCTTGATTGATAATATTAACCATTGCTTCAGTTTCCACGGGTCGTTGTTGACCTCGACAACCACAGTCTAGACCTTACCGAGGAATGCAAGGTTGACTTGCTGTCTGTGGACTCAGCTGCTAGTATTGCTAGCTTCAAAGATAAATATGGTGCGATATGCCTTCCCTCTTTAGTGCATAGTATTATAGCCCCTGACACCAGACACAGGTCGCTTCTTCGCTACTAGGGTTCAACTAGGTGGAAGGCTTCTTTCTTCTGAAGATATCACTGCAACAACTAGCACTGCCAAGTCTGATCAGGCCAAGGCTATGAAAGCGGCAGCAGCGCTTTCGTTCTCCTCTCCTTATGTGCAGGCCTCTGCAAAAATGAGCACCGACAAGTCCTCCACTTCGAGCTCGGATGCTTCTAACGCTGCTTCAACTAAGTCGATGTGTTGGGAAGCCAAGGGCGGCGACACCTTGCTCTGCAATGAGTAAGGACATTCTATCCATTTCTGGTACACATCTAAATTAATCTGTCCTGTTCTAGTCCACCCGCATGGGCCGCCACCGTGGGCTCATTCTACTCCTGGCGCGCTGTCAAGGTAAGTAGTCTCCTCCAGGAGTTGTCAATAACCAGTATGTCTCACATTTACTACAGCAATCAAAGGTGGTCGCACTGGAAGACGTCATCTCCACCATCCCTGGCTACCAGTATATCAAGCAGAAGTTCGCGGACATCCTAAAGAACGACCAGCCGACGATGACCACGGTATCCGTCGGGTTCCAGATCTCACATGGACCTGACCAGAAACTTCTTACTGTAAACCCTACTACCACGGAGACCGATACCATCGAGACCGCTGATCTCGATAACTTCGGTAGGAACACCGATACACTGTCCCCGACTACTACAATAAAACAATCCAGCTAATCCAATCATAGGATCCGGCGTCCTGGAAATGGCCTCGACAGTGACCATGACTGCCGAACGCTACGATTATCTCCATAAACTCAATGCAATCACCATAGGATCCGAAATCGTGGGTCTGTCATCGAAGGATACTAGCTCGAATAGCCAGAACTTCTACGTCGACGTGGCAACCTCACAAGGCAAGGAGGTCAAGCAGGTAAGCCAAGCACTACCCTACACATTGAAACCAAACACTAACTACTTCCATCAGCTCAAATACAACTACCCGTACCGCATCTACAACAAGTCCAGTACTACTGACAGTAACCAGTCCTGGCTCTCCTCGAGTCCCGCTCTTCCGGGATATGTCTCGACATCTCTTGTCTATGCCAGCACGAAGCATATGGCCTCTGCCTTCCAGTTCAGAAGTACTACCATTGGTGATACGTCTGAATATATAACAAGTGGATCACGTGTTTATATTATTATGTTTGATCATAATGGCACGGAGATTGGCAAAGCTGCTCGTCAGCCGGATATTGGTGACCGTGTTGGCGTTGACTCGGAACGGTTTGGCTCAATTAAGTTGGATGAGTTTACTTTGACTTATGTTTGAAGGGGTGGCTAGTGAGTGGGCAGTTGAGTTTGTTTTGGCTGCCTTGTCTTGGTAGGCTACATGATTAGGTGGCTCCGATATGGCTAGTGAGGATGCCTCTGGGGACTCTAAATGTGGTTTTTGGGAAAGGTAGGTGTGATCTATTGACGGACGAGATAGACGAATGATATACATATAATAGCTTATGAGAGTGGTCGGCGAATTCCAAGTTGGTTATAATATTCTATTTGTGATAAAACTAAACAACATGGTATAACCATGAGGAAGGGATGAACGACCCTTGCCAGGTAGAATTGATGGTAGTTTTCGAGAGATGAAGTCATTTAGAAAATAGTCTAGGGATCAAATCCCGGGAGGAAGTCACTCGAAATCAACCCTTGTAAATGCTCACGCTAATTCAAGATTTATGCCGTCTTCACAATCAATGTGCTGCTGATCTGACTATCTTGCACACGGAAGCTCCAGATCAACTTGCCAGATCGGGTGTGTTGAAAGGCCATCATCTGCCGTACCGCTAGCCTCAAACGCTGCATTTATGAAAAGTGTCTGATGGTCTGGTTTCAATGGAATCGCATCATCCGTACAGTGACTCGTTTCTGCAACAGCCGGTGATGTCTCAGGACCAAGTCTGGACAGCTTAGTGACAACACTCGACCGTCCATAGTCGATAGCCGTAAAGTGGGAAGGTTCATTCCCAACAACAGTTCTATCCCTCCATTGTGCAATCATCGCACCCCATCCTTCATGAATATGTCCAAAACAGTGTATTCGGGGCCTAGCTTTCGCAACAGCCTTAAATAGATCCGGACACCCAGCTCTCCCGTTGTCAGTATAATCCATAATTCCCCTGGGAGGGCTATGAGTAATCACGATATCAACATCCTCCTCAATCTGAAAATCATGTCCCCTTTCAGGATGGTACTGAAATCCCCAGTCCCCGAGGGAGGGGGTGTACGGACTGGCATAGAGGTTGAGTATTGATCCGTTTGGTAGTGTTATTGAGTGTGTACCTTCGTCTAGGAAGATAATGCCGTTGTCTTGTTCGTTCTTGAAGAGGGTTCTGACTTCTTCATAGTCTCCGTATACTTTCTTGACGGAGGAGTCGTTTTCGAGACCTGCTTCGCGGATCTTTTGTTCGAAGGTAGGCGTGTCTAGGGTGAAGTCGTGGTTTCCAGCGATGACAAGCTTGAGTGGCGCTTTGAAACGCTGGAGCTGTTTGATGGTTGTTTGGAATTCGGTTATGTAGGATGAGTTTGTGAGGTCACCGCAGTGTAACACGACGTCTACCGAGTGCTCGAAGCATGATTCAGGCAGCTCTGCGCCGTGGGTGTCGGAGAGGATGAGGAAGCGGGTTTTGATGGGGGAGCGTGACATAGTTGCTGTGGGAATTGAAGCTGTTGGTAGAATGAAAATAATGGGTGTGAGGCAGTGAAAAGATGAGACTTATAGGATAGGAGTATCTAGGGAAGTTCCTAAGAAATACCGTGACGCTACAATTATGCCGTGACTCTATACAAGACGGCTGGTTCAGCCCTACAACATCATTACGTCTGTGAACTTCCGAATGTCTGACTCAGTCAACCCATGAATAGCTAATAAATGGGAAACTAACACCAGGATAAGAAGTTCTTCCTGAAAATAAAAGAATGTAAGGGGACGATTAGTATACTGGTGATGTACAAAGCTGAGTGGGATGGTGCAAGAGTCTAGGGCGAGACACTAGAAAGAGAAGATTGCAAAATACTAGCCAGATAGTGTGACTACCTATAATCCATCTTCCTAATGATAGGTATGATCGGCATGGGTATACTTGTCTAATAATCATGGAAAGCTATGCTATATTAGTGGCCTAAGGCATCACATATGCCTGAGGTACTCACATATGTCTGGCTGCCTAAGGCTGCGACAAAGTCGGCACTATGTACAACAACCCTCCGGGGTTTACCACCAAACCGTTCGAGAAATCCTCCATAGTATCAGTCCAAAGTCTCCTGTAGCTTTTCGCAAGGTTCTAGGTAGATCACGTGTACTACACTATGCGGGGTAAATACCACGTGATGCATGTGCCACCCGATCGCCGTCCCTCCAGTCTCTCAATTCTTTGGCACAGAGAGTGTTTGCATAGTCCAATTCCCTGCAGCATTTATCCCTTGTAGCTTTAGGCTCATTCCTGGTTCATTGCTATCTTCATCATGGATTGATTGCGATTTCTTGTTTCACTCTGCATTCACAACTTGTGATAAACTTAGCTGTGAAGATATTATAATCAACCCTGTTTTCGCCCAATGGCTGCTACCAACCTGCGTATCCGTAGATACCTCGGTCTCTGCAATTCAGGAGCCGAGTGATGTGGGGACCTGCTGACATGCATACCGAGGAGACATCCCTCATATCAGCTCTTGTCTTCCACCCAGCTGTTTGCCTCTCCTGATAATCAGATATCGAGACACAACAACATGGCAGCATGCACTCCCAGCAAGCCCTCATCATCCACAGAAGGGTTCTTTCAACCCCTTCCCACTATCCCCCCGTGCTATAGCTTTACTACTGCAAGCGCCCGAGGAAACCACTCTTCATCCGACGATGTAGTTTTAGGCCGAATCCTGGTGCTATACCTTCCCCACAACTGCGGCAACGTTGGCCACTCCATCCACAACCTCTCTCGCCGTGCCCTTGAGCCTAGAGTACTTCAGCACAGTGTTGATGCAGAGACTAACCCGCCTGCTCTCCGTCCGCTCACCACATTTGGCGGGGAAAATCGAGTTGATCCGCTATGGACATCAACTGGTTGGAAGGCTCTCAAGGAAATCGGTCAAGAAGAAGGCCTCGTGAGCGTCGCATATGAGACGGACAACACAACCTGGAACCGCCGCGTGCATCAATTTGCCCTGAATCATGTTTGGTCTGGTAGCGCTGCTATGACAGGGTGTCCTGCGTCTATGACGGACGGGGCAGCAAAGCTGCTTGCAGCTCATCTCGGCGAACCGGACGGGGACCAGCCTGGTCGTAGCGAAGTATTTCGTGAGGCATACCGCCGCCTCATCTCGCGAGATCCCAAAGTCGCATGGACAAGTGGACAGTGGATGACGGAACGAAAAGGTGGCAGCGACGTGCGAGGAACCGAGACGATCGCACGTCGACTGAGTCGCGAGGAACTGCTTCAAGAAGCCTCCCATCACGATGCGCACGGCATGCCGCTTGGACCATGGCGTATTGATGGGTTTAAGTGGTTCAGCAGTGCGACCGACTCGGAAATGACGGTCATGCTGGCGCAGACAACCAAAGGACTCAGTTTGTTCTATGCACCAGTGCGGCGGCGTGCTGGCCGGTCGGCCTCATCTTCGAGCGGGATTGAGTTGAATGGCATTCGGATGCAACGGCTGAAGAACAAAGTTGGCACCAAGCAACTGCCCACAGCGGAGTTGGAGCTCAAGGGTGTGCGGGGCTGGCTGATCGGGGAAGAAGGCAGAGGTGTAAAAGAGGTTGCGACCATCCTCAATATTACCCGCCTCTATACAGCGGCCGGTTCGACGGCAGGATGGGGCCGCGGACTGGCCATTTGCCGGGCATATACGCGGGTTCGCAAGGTCCAAGGCTCACTTCTTGAGGACGTCCCGCAGCACGTGCGCTGGATGGCGGCTGAGACAGTGAAATACGCGGCGGCCATGCACTGGGCCTTCTTCGGCATTGCCCTGCAGGGAACCGTTGAGCAGGATTGGGACCTAATGGTTCGTAATACCAAAGCTGCTGCCGTAATCCCGCGTGATAAGAAGCAAGCTGCAACTTTGCTTCGGCTCATCACGCCGGCTCTAAAGGCCCTGACCAGCGTGGGTTCTGTCCAGGGACTCCGAGAATGCATGGAAGGACTAGGAGGGGTTGGCTACTGCGAAAACAATGAGGATGGTGGGGTTCTCAACGTAGCCAGAATCTTCCGAGACACGCTGGTCAATCCGATTTGGGAGGGTACGGTTAGTGTGATGGCTGAGGATGTGGCGAGAGTCATTATGGACCGACGGCTCGGTGAGGGTAAAGTCATCGAGAACGTCTTCGGGCAGTGGGTGCACAACATACTGCAACATTGTCAACGAATGTTCCCGGATGAGTGTGCATTCGTCACGAATAGACTAGAGAATCTCGTCCAAATTGCAAATAGGGCTGACAAGGCGGAGCTGCTATGGCGTGGAAGGGAGATAATTGGTCATTTGCAGGCCATCGTCTGCTCTTGTTTACTGATGTATGATGCTTGCACTGATGAGAATGAGGTGGCTGTGATCGTGGCATCAAGATATGTTCAGTCATTTGCGGACTCTGGTATAAAGCCACCATCTCAGTGGGATGTCGAGTCACGGAAGGACAAAATGATATTTTTGGGAGATAATGTATCCCGTGCCGTACATGGGAAGCTTTGAAAGGGTCAGAAATGAAATATGTGTCTGATTGTTTGGGAATGGCGCGTTGCTGTGGACTTCAGTTCATAATACTACATTGTTGAAAGACGAGAAACTCGTGAATATATCTCTCACACTCATCATGTGATAACTATGGAGATTGGCTACAAACTTACACCTCAATCAGCAGAGCCTTTACAATTAATGGAATGTTTAAAGATTATAAGAATGATATTATCACGTCGCAACCAAGTCGGAAAATACATATTAGGTACATAAAGCCAAAGCAATATCTAAACAGAAAACGTCTTCACAACCTTCTCGTTCTCCCTCTTTAGAAACCGCTCGAATGTCCCGAGGTCGAGATCCCACTCCTTTGTCGCCTCCAAATCCGCAAACTGTGCCATGTCTCGCATCGCCAACTGCGCTTCAATGAGCGGGTTAACAGCAGCCTGGGCTTCAATCTCCTCCTCAATTAAGTAAGTAGCCTTGAGATCCCGCCCTGTGGCCTTCACGAGCTCCTTCACTATCTCCTCAACGGTCAACAACTCCCCCGCAATTTCAATCTCCTTGCCATGAAGCTTCTTATCAGTCAGCGCCATTGCTCCAACTTTCCCAATATCCATCGGATCCACCAGTGGGATCTTCGTCTCCGTCGTCCACGCAGTAACCCAACATCCCTTATCCACTAATCCAGAATACATATACACCATCGGCGCTAGGAAGTTTGTCATAAAGCTTCCAGGACGCAAAATAGTCCATCTCTCAAAACCCATTGTTCGAATTTCGTTTTCCAGCGCCTGTTTAGGGAGCAGCATCTTCCCAACGAAGCCAGTGGGCGTGAAGGTACGGATCTTGTGGGGTTCGTTGACGGCGAAGGCGCTGCTGTAGACAACATGCTTGACACCAGCTTCTTTGGCGAGAGTGAGGAGCCGCCGGCCGCGAATAACTTCGATGTCGGGGTTCTGGAAGTCGGGGACCATGTTCAGGAAGAGACCAGTGCAATTGGCGAGACTGGCTCGGAGGGAGGCTTCGTTGTCGTAGTCACCCGCAATCACATCAGCACCCAGGGCGCGCAGGTGCTGTGACTTTGTGGAGAGCGGGGTGCGGGTGACGGTGTGTACTTTGATGCCCTTTTCATGGAGGTACTTTGCTATGGCACCGCCTTGGGTGCCGGTTGCGCCACAGACGAAGACGGACATGTTGAGGGGTGGTTTGGGTGATGAGTTTGGTTTGAGAGTGACTGGAGAGGTAGGCAGCAAAGACGGTATATTGATGAACTGTAAGATAAAGATAATGTTGATGAGTACGTTAAAATGTAGAGGACATTATGGTTATTTATATAGGCGAGCATTGGGATATTGTGGAGGGAGAGTAAGTACTTAGTGTTAGTAGTATACGAAGTTCACCGCGGCGTTCCACTTCCTGGGCCAAGTATGATTGGTTGAGCTAAAATAGCGGGCGGAACTCCGCCGCCCCACTGATTGTTTCCTCCGCAGCCATCTTACGTTGGGGTTTTCACTGTCCACACAGGTCTCCAAAATTATTTGCAGCCTCGCAATTCTTTGATCAATTGGGACCCATGAATTCAGCAGCAGAGCGTACCAACGCCCCACCGCGGCGAAAATCCTGCGAGGCCTGCAAGATAGCCAAGCGACGCTGTGATCTTGCCTGGCCAGCTTGCTTCCGATGTGCCCGCCGCAATCAGGTCTGTGTCTATCCTGGTAGACAACCACAAAGCTTGGACATGGAGGCAGCATCGCTTGCAGTAAATTTTCAGAAACACCCTCTGTTTCCAGCCTGTGCTGAAATCCAGTGTGTGACCGATATCAACACGCACTTCCCAGATGTAGAGCAGTTATCATGTGCCCTCGAGCTTCCGAGCCCCGGAACCGAAGTTGCCAATCTACTGGCCCAAATCCCGCCTCTGCAACCTCCTATGATGTCGCTAACACATGAAAATCCAAGTACCACTGTGATCAAAACAAGGTCTGTGCTGCCCATATCGACAATAGTCGCGCAACGCCTACAGTTCGGCATGGACGTGCTGAAACAAGCACCCAAAATGATGGTCCTCGAAAGCCAGACGCCCTGGTGTCATCGCCAATTGTACAAGGACGGCATGCCCAGGTCAATGCAAGGTACGTTTATTGCATTCCATCTCAACTCTGTGCTAAAGATTGCAGACGCCCTCGCCTGCTGCGCCCTCTACATGGCTCGAAATGATATCAATGCTCCTGTCATCCTCTCTTCCTTCAAAACCCGCATTGACGATTTGTGTGCATCACCGCCACCGAGCACGCCTCTCGAAGCACTTGCACACACCCAATCACTGATACTATATCAGATAATGCGCCTGTTCGACGGGGACATCCATGCCCGACTGTCCGCTGAGCCTTTTATTCCCATGCTGGAAACATCGGCCTTCAACCTTCTAAACTATATATACTTCCCAGCCGCAGAGCCCGATACTGCTCTTACCGCGCCCATGGATGTCGTCATGCAGTCCTGGGATGAGTGGGTATACCAGGAATCTGCGCGTCGCACCGCCCTTTTTACGTTTTATCTGGTGCAAATATACCGTTTAGTGACGGGCGAGAACAACCTCACCTGCGACGGCCGTCTGGGTCTCAACCACTCATGGTACCTATCCGCACCCCTGTGGAATGCGCAGACTTCATTCGACTTTGCCGTTGCATGGAACGAGTATCAGCATTTCGTGGTCTGTAACGCAGATTTTGGCCATGTACTTGAATGCGCGCGACCGTCTGATGTGGACGTGTTTGGACGGATGCTCCTCAGTACGCTACTAGGGATTGACCAGGCTAAGGCCTGGTTTTATTCCCGAGGAGCTGGCCTATAAATTCATGTCTCGATGGTACTAATGCGCATGTTGCTTCAAACCTACGACCCTTACGACCAATCTCCGATCTCCACAGAACACACACAGACTCTGGCTCCCATGTGCCTCGGGCGGATATCCTTCCGACATCCGTCTTCAGGCTTTCCAGTTTTGCAATAGCGGCACCACACCGCCTTTCTCGCCGCCCCTGAGCCCAGCCCATTCCTTGCCCGCTGCTCAGCTCCTTGAAGTTTGGTTATATTTCCACATCTTCGCGGCTGGCCCCGAACAAACAAGAGGTGATCAGTTTAAGTACTGCCAGTGTTTTCCTGAAGTTTACCTATTGTAATTTTTTCGCCTTTGTCACTATTCACGTCTTGTGTGCCCCTATTCATTGATGCCCAGATAGATGTCCTTTGGTAAGCTTCTATTCTCTTTCAGGTTAGGGGCATTCTTCCACTGCTTACTGGTCGCCTCACACCATGGCGACACTACCACTTCTTAGGGGCAAAAGCATCTCGCTAGAGGATGCACTGGCAGATGACGATAATATTCTACATCGCTTAGACTATCCACAAAAGCAGCAGGATTTCTGGTCATATCTAGTTTCCATTAGGGCCGACATCGAAGCTACGGTTGCCTTCCACCTTTCTGCAAGATACTGCCGGGTAGATGAGGAAAGCAACTGGATGTTTGGCAGCTATAACGTTTGTATTCCGGTGTGGATCAACCCCCCATCTGATAAGCGCGTTCTGGTTCGAATACCGTTGCCTTACAAGATCGGTGAAGAGACTAAGCCTGGAAATGTGGATGAAAAGCTGCGATGTGAGACCGCGACTTATATTTGGATTCGTCAGAATTGTCCCAGTGTACCTATTCCTCTACTTCACGGATTTGCCTTCCCTGATGGACAAACTGTAGGTCAGTCGGGGTCCGGTTGCGAGACTTTCGCTAAATTGCAGCCTGTTGCAGTTCGTTGAACCATCTTCTGCACCTTTTCTTACTCGTATCTGTTGGCGGATTAATCGGATGGTACGCTCTTGGCTTGGACTCTCAATCTCATGCCCGTATGTCAGTCTACATCGGGGTGATGCATGGAAGACAGGGTACATGATTATCAGCTACATTGAAAGTGGTCGAATGCTCTCCGATTCATGGGCGGTCATGCTCCAAGATACGGCACGGAGACAGACTCTCTTCAACGATCTCGCAAAGATCACACTGTCATTGAACCGTATTCAGTTGCCTCGAACCGGATCATTAACCATGACAAACGAGGGAGTAATAAGACTTACCAATCGGCCGTTAACCTTACGTCTGCAGACGTTTGAAAACGAGGGGATTCCCACCATCCCACGTGACTCAACCTACGAATCCGTCGAACCATATCTCCTCGATCTCTTACAGTGTCACGATAACCGTATTCACTATCAGCCAAATGCCATCCATGACGTGAAAGATGGTCAAGAGCAATTAGCTGCTCTAACGATGATGCGTGGACTTTTGCCTCGGTTCGTCTCTCGTCAGCACCGCCGTGGTCCCTTTTTATTGACCCTCACCGACCTTCACCCGAGTAATATCTTTGTTGATGAAGAGTGGCATATAACATCTCTTATTGACCTTGAATGGGCGTGTGCCTTCCCCATCGAACTACAAACCCCACCTTACTGGCTTACTGGTCGGCCCATTGATGACATCGAGCATGGCGAGCACCTGCAGATGTTTGAGAAGGTTGTCATTGAGTATATCGATGCTTTCAAGAAACAGGAGATGATTCAAAACTCGCCAATCTCTTATGCACAAGTCTTGAGGGAGTGCTGGAATAGGGGAAGCTTTTGGTATTTCCAAGCTGTGCATAGCCCCAAGGGGCTGCTCCGGGTTTTCAACGAGCATGTTCAAAGAAGATTCTGTGAAGAACACTGCACACAAAGCATATTCGACCGCACAGTCAGTCCATATTGGTGTGTGGACGCTGGGAGCTTGATAGAACAAAAGGTAAAGGAGGAAGAAGACTATAGAGATCGACTGAGAAAGCGATTTGCAAGCTGATCTGACAGTTACAATGGATCTTTAATCGGCGGCTGCGTTATTCTCCCTTAGGCGACAGTAAATGTCAGAATAATAACGTACTGGGATTCCCCGCCTTGTTCCCTTACATCTTAGTCCTTCTTATTACTCTGTCTTCTTCTCTGCGCCTCTTCTCCCGAAGAGACGACCTGCCCAATGGATGGGTTGTTGGCTATACGTTGGGATGGCAACTCTGTTTTCTTGCCTCTTGCTCTCTTAGCCTCTTCACCAGAGGACAGTGACATTTGAATTAGTTGATTCTGTTCGACCCTTTTCTGCTCTGCGGCACTTCCATCAATTTGCTTGCTCATTTTTTCCGAAGAGGCGATGTGTGAAAAAAGCAGTGTGATAGAAGAGGCTTTCTAATTCAAGCTGGAGAGGGATAAGTAGAATGTTGAAGCCAATGGTGGTCTAAATATGGTCACTGGCAGTCTCGCAAAGACAGGATCCACATTCTTGTGTTCAATTAGCGCCTTGATGCAGTCTAACAAGATGTAGGAAACAGGATAGTCTGAGCACAATTTGACTTGTGTTGAGGAAAACAACGTGAGCCTTACATTGTGCATATACTTGCAGCTCATTGCTTAGTAGAATGCGGAGAGCTCGAAACGTTGATATAACAGTGAGCAGCACTGGCACTCCAACCCTGGATTTCCTGGAGGTGGGCAGGGTTCGCTCAACTGTGACAAGCACATCCTCGCCTATTGACCACACCCAATTCAAGGCGAAAAAAAAAACTCCCAACTTAAAATGATTGGCAGTTGGGACTCTCCGGCACAGGATACTAAGCGCCCGGCCGATGGTTAGCGTAAGGGAAGAGATCGATATGCATAAGCGCTTAGTACCGCAAGTGTGAGGGCCTAGTCACCGTAGAGAAAATGACAAAGCGGCTGGCGCTTAAGTTTTCGACTCGTAATTTGCTGGATACTTTAGTGGATTCGGGCGAATACCAGAGAATTTGATATTTTAGTCGATACAGACAGCCTACAGGGCGCTTCCAATCTTACTGTTCAGATTATTGGACCGATATTGTCCACAGATGTTCCGGCTTCCACTTTGTAGTACCCTCACACCCTACTGGCGCTATCACACTTGTTTAGAACGGGTCTGTATCGGCCTTGAGCGGTAGCTGCAGGGGTACTGGTGGCCAGAATTTGTTTATGGGATTGAGCCCTGCGCGTTGTCTCAGCCAAGCGCTAGAGCAGCCAACTAGTCTTGAGTGCTTTTAAATTCTATTCTGATCTAGTACACATCGCTCAATCGCTCACTTGCTTGTACTTTACCATACTAAATAACATGATTAATCCGAGTTGGACCCAATGGGTCTGGACTTATGTACTGTTCTTTCTATAACGTTGACCCTTTCGTCCCGAAACCAGACTGTCGCCTATGAAAGGAATTGGCTTCCCGTCGAATTATCTCTTAAAGTTGCTTGAGATCCTGGGGTCAAACACCTGAGAACAACTGGTTGCGAGGTGTATTTAAAGCTGCAAGCGGAAATGGGGCCAATACATAGGTTTCCCTCTCCTTTCTGTTTCAAGGGCGCAAATCGGTCAAGACAAGTCTTTTCTCCAGTTCCTTCCTCTATCTGTGTGTTACTATTTTCATTTACTGTTCTTATTCTTTGTTGTTATCGTTATCACCCAAATCTAATTAGCTTTTGTTGAGACCAATAAGTCACGCCGTCTGCCCAGTAGCCAGAACTATTTCGTTCGAGTCTACTTGGCCGAAAATAGTGTTGACGAGTTGTGAGCCTCCCTCTAACATAATAATTCGACTTTAAATCGTTTGAGCTTGTTCATTTGAGTGTTTAAACAAATGATGTTATCAATAAATCATTCAAATGTTTTGCACGGAGAGCTATATAGAAAAGCCTTCAGCTAGACGAATATTTAGAAATAGAATCTCCACTCCAGAGCCTGCAGACATGTCAACTTACAGAAAGAATACTATAGTACAGCTAGTCCGGGAGAGCTGTACTGGATATCGGAATTACTATTTTGCCTGTATGTTGGCCAGTGATATTTGGCCCACTTGGCAAATGCTGTTCTGACAATCAACAACGAACGCATGTCCATCTCGTTAGATTTTCGCTGGCAGAACACTAGGAGATGCAATCACAATGCTCGTTATGGTGCTTGGAACGAAAATACAGGTTACTCAACCCAAAGATATCGATGAAACTCAAAGTCCGAATAGAATTGAAATTGTTCGCTTCCTATAAAATGGTAGTGTGAAGCGTGCATTTAGATAATCTTTTTAATCTTGGAGAGTGGGTTAAACACCAGTTGACTTGGCAGGATTCCCTGTCATCCTCCATAGATTCTCCATTGGTCTGAACGGGGCTGTTTAATATCGGCGACCCGCCCTTAGCTTCTACTATCATCGTATTCTCGCCATGAATGCATCTTGCGCCTCGGATGATATGTTTTCCATCTTCGCCTCATGAAAGGTAAGTTTCTAAACAGCCATGTTTCGCTCGTGCTTTTGAGAATGAAATCTCTCAGAAATGCTTGGGATTGACGAGTCAATTGCACCATATGCAAGATTTAAAAGGAAGGAACAAAAAAATCTCTAACTGGAGAATCCGTGAGGGGTAAAGCGGCTAGTCCTCCGAAGCGGATTAGTGATGTCTTAGTGTTGGAAAGGTTTTGCAGAGAGGGTGGGGTTGCGCGGCCGGGAAATTCTCTCGGAAGCAATCAGTTCCTTCCATCTTATCTGATCATCTGATTATCTCTACCCCCCTCCCCCCGGTCCTTTTCTTGAACGTTTTTCAACATCTCAAGAACTCAGAGGGGCCCTACTTACTTCATACTCAGTTCATACATTACCCCCATCGCCAATCGATTACTCGCGTCTTCATGGCCAGCGAAGGCCTTCCGAAGACTTCGGATCTGTCCGATCCCGAGACCCAATACATTTTAGAGGGCAATGCCAGGTTTCGCCGGCTAGGATGGAAGCGCCTCACGGTTATTTCCATAGTGGAGGCAATTGCCCTTGGGAGCTTGGGCCTGCCTTCTGCCTTCGCTACGTTGGGGATGGTTGCCGGTGTCATTCTCACGATTGGTATCGGACTGGTAGCGATGTATGCGGGCTATAACATCGGACAAGTGAAATTAAAGTACCCCGAGGTTGGGCACTACGCAGATGTCGGCCATCTTCTCCTGGGGAATGTGGGAGGCAAAATCTTCGTCGGCAGCTTTGTCGCCCTATTGGTCTTTGTCATTGGGTCTCACTGCTTGACCGGCGCAATTGCGTTCCAGACCATCACTGAAAGCAGCGTGTGTTCGGTGGTCTTCAGTATTGTCTCCGCTGCCATTCTGATGATCCTCGCCATTCCTCCATCCTTTGCCGAGATTGCAATCCTCGGTTATATCGACTTCGCTTCAATTATCTTGGCCATCGGAGTCACGGTGATTGCAACGGGCATTCAAAGTCACAGTTCCACTGGTACCTTCTCCGCTGATCATATCCCGTGGTCTGCGTGGCCCATAGCCGGAATCACTTTCTCGCAAGCAATTGTCGCCGCGAACAACATTGTCTTCGCTTATTCTTTCGCTGGATGCTTGCCTTCCTTCATGGAAGACATGCATACTCCGGAGGATTACATCAAGACCCTCTGGTGGCTAGGAGGCATTCAAATCGTCATCTACACATTGACAGGGTCGCTTATCTACGCTTTTGTGGGCCAGGGCGTGCAATCTCCTGCCCTACTATCAGCCGGACCAGTCATTTCAAGAGTGGTTTTCGGCATAGCTCTTCCAGTCATCTTCATCTCCGGCTCTATTAACGTGACGGTCGTCTGCAGATACATTCACGGAAAGTTCTATCATGACTCAGCCGCCCGCTTTATCAACACCCGAAAGGGCTGGATGACTTGGTTGGGTCTCATATCGCTTGTTACTGTTCTCGCTTGGGTCATTGCCGAGGCTATTCCGATTTTCTCGGAGCTACTGTCCATCATCTCGGCACTCTTTGTTTCCGGACTCTCGTTTTATATTCCTCCCGTGATGTGGTTTGTGCTTTTGAGAGATGGGGCTTGGTATGAGACACACAATTTACGGCCTGCAATGTGTAATTTGGTGGTCTTTATTGTCGGTATGATTGTTTTCGGTTGCGGTACTTATTCGAGTATTGCGGAGCTGGTAAGTGGTTTCTATATGGATATGAAGATCATATGCTGACATCAATGATTATAGGTTAACGAGTTTCGGTCGGGGGAAATAAGTAAACCTTTTACGTGTTAAGAGGTTAAGCTTGTGATGTGAATATGCGTGCAATGTACACTGGGGGACTCATGATGCTATCAAATCAATCTGGCCGGGTACCTATGTTGTCTATTTATTGTGTTGAGAGAAAATAGAATAGATGGTTGAAAGAAAGGCATTGTGTGTATATATTACCTGTCAATATACATCCGCTATATATGTTCCCTTGGGGGGGGGGGGGGGGGGAGGAATTGGCTTTGTAGTTGCCATAAGCTATGTGATTTGATCCCCCACCAAATCAAAGAAAGAGGCATAATACTTTATTCATCAGGATGCCAATAAATAATTGTGCGTATGAGAATAAATGTCGGCCGTTCGGGACTGACAGGTTATCCTGCCCGCGGGAAAGGGAATCCTTGACTCTTTTGTAGGAACATGTTTTGTTTATGGGTGATATCTAACAGGTATCGTCTCTTTTCAAATTTCAGCTGGCTTGGAGGAAACAAATAAAATAACATAACAATAGTGCCAATATTAAGGAAAGCTTGCTTATGCACACCCGGACACAGTTACATGCAATGTGCAGCCTTAGCGATGAGGCATCGAGCGGCTTGGTCAGACACAACCGAAAGAAATCGAAAGAATTGGCAATAGGTATTCCTGATTATTTGGAGTTGTAGCCTGAAATACCAAATGCTCATGGATGCCTAATTCCCTCATGGCTAATGATTTCCTAATTCCAGGTTGTATTGCCTACGGTCGCTCTGTCGGACAATTCGGGCGAATCTCCGACGGGATGGATGGACGTTGAGCAGACAACACAACTTCAGCCTCATGCGCCCCACGAGACATGAGGATAATTCCATTGCCGAGCCAAGCATCCTCACAGTCATAGTTGACGAAGAATCCTACTGGACATGTTTCACCAACGGTCCAGTTAGATGCAAGACTGCTTATGCACTAAGCACGTTGAAGCAGGCATCACCGCGACCCCTGCAGGCAGCATCCATCATTGAAGGCCTCGGTCAGGGTCCAAAGCAAATAGCTGCTTCCTTCCAAGGTGGCAATCGCCTCAAACCCTCCCACTAAATCATGGGGCGTCGGTAAAGGAGAAGTTTCCTCTGCCAGCCAAAATTGACGGATCGAGCCGTCGTATCCGCCCCATCCAAATTAAACGGACCACCAATACGCGCTGGTCCCTGAACGGCCCCCACGAGCTTCTGTATGGGTCTTTTGCCTATTCAGGCACAACTGGATTATGATGGATTGATGCTAACAGAATCAGGGAATTTGTTCTAGAGTCGCATTTTTGAGAGCGATTTTCGGCCAATTCTACCGATCGTGAGCATGTTGTGCCACGAGCATAGTATAAATATGGCCTTCTGACCCCTCGAGGTTTACTTGTATTCCAGGCTCAGATCTCCAGAACACAAGTATCCGCATCATCATCATGATTCCCGCTATCCTGACCGGAGTTTCCATGCTCGCAGGCTCTGCCTACGCTTCGGCCGTGCAACCCGTTCGCGCCACCGGAGGATGCACCAACATCAATTCGTACTCCCCGGAGACTGGAACCACCGGCTACTTCATGCTTGCTGCCACCGACTGCAAGAACGTTACCGCGCCGGATCAGGCTTGCCCTATTGAGGGATTTGGTGATACCAGCGTTGTCTTCCGCACTGCTGGAGAGACTGGTATCCATATGGGATATGTATGCTCATTACCCCAGTTGATCATCAAGTAGTTCGTTACTAGTATTAACGAATGAATTATTAGATCGCCATCGGCTCCGAAAACGACGAGGCCAAGAACCCCATCATCTGCGATGACTCCTCTCCTTCTATCCTCAACGGCCTTGTTGAGACCGGCGTGAGCGGATACAGCTTCCAGCCATTGAACATCAGTTCTATCCCCTATACCGCGCTCTTGATGTGGGGATTGGACGAGCAGGCGTCCGTCCCGGTCGACTTTTACCACCACTATGTAAACGGCACGCAGCAGGACGGCCTGTTTATTGGCGCCAACAATGTCACTACTTGGGCTATCAAGGAGTACTCTGATTCTGGATCGAAGCTGCCGTACTGGTTGTTCCGTCTGTTGGGGCCCGATAGTGAGGATCCTATCACTGGTGCGGCATTGGAGGAGGGGGAGTTGGTTACCTATATTAAGGTTAGGTATTAGTTGGGAGGAATCCAGATCTGTGCCTGCAGAACACGGGTTAATTGTTGGATGGGATTTGAGTTCCCTGCTCTATTAGTGGACAGGAGAGTTACCTCCCGCAGACGGGTCAATCAATATGTTGAACAGACACCCACCAGTTTCTCAATTAGAGTTTGCTTTTCTTTCCCAAAATACTTCTGCCCATGTAGATCAATAGTGGAGCAGACACATCGCATGCGGGATTGCATCACGCATGAACAAGTTCTCGATCTCGTGGTTGACACCTGCGGCAATCGATCGATCGGAGTTCGCATCTACGCCGCGGCGGTTCTTTTCGATCGCTTCACATCGCGATGAGAGGTTGCCTTTTCCTACCTGTCTTCAGGGGATAATCTCGTATGTCGTAGCGATCATTGGATATGTCGCGTCTGCGAATACAAAATGCTGTATAAAGGATGGGTGAAATGCCATGCTACTTAGGGACCTGGCACGGACAAAACATCTCAGTCTCAGCACCAGCCATGGACCACTTCGACGCAACTTCACTGCGCTCCTACCCGTCCACTGTCGCATTGGACAATTTCCCCCCCTCAGATGCGCCTTCGCCATGGCGAACATCTACGTCTTCCGCTTCCATCAGCGAAGAAGAGTCGCGAGAGGTGCGCAGACGACGACCCAGCGAAATCCTTCTCGGATTCCCTCGTCCCCCTAGTCGTGCACATATCACGACAAAAGCTCTGGTCTCGAGGCCATCTGTCAAGACACTTCGTAGGAATTATATGATTCACGAGCTTCCTCTTCTTCACCAGCCGAACCCTTACTATGACGAATCCGACGAGTTCAATCCTGTCTGTGACCCTGGCTTGTCCTATGATCTTATTGCACCACAGCACGATACACAAGAGGCCCCACCACTCCATGCTCTCGAAAAGATCGCTGATCTGGTCTTCTCATCGGAGCATATGCTTACCATTCTGCACAACCCGCGCTATCTAGCGAAATTTCGCGAATTTCTTCTTGAGGAGCGTCCACGCTCTCTCCACAGGTTGATTTACTACTTGACAGCGCGTAAGGCCCTTAAAGCAATCGATTACGCGAACTGCTTGGTGCGATGCTTTGTCGATGACGCTCAACCGAAATCATCTGTGTCTGCATTGTCAGGACAGAAGATCGGAGAAATCACCCACCCGGCGCTGCAGCAGCGGGTACAGGAAGCCTTGAAGATGCTTACTGATGAGGAACTCCCTGCGTTTATTACCTCGCGCTGCATAGGAATTACCAGTCGCGTGGTGGAGGAAAGGGTCAGGGGGACCCTACCCAAGAGGTTCCAGAGAACGGATGACGAGAAGGCACTGGCGGAGGTATTCTGTCTTACAGATCCGTCGAGACGAGATAATCCGATCGTTTTTGCTTCGGAGGGTAGGCAGTCCCCTTTCTGATGAGCCTTTGTTCTTTTGCTGACACCTGTTGGTTTTGGTGGTAGAATTCCATCGCACGACGCAGTATGGCATGGACTATGTGCTTGGACGGAATTGTCGGTTTTTGCAGGGACCGAAGACGAATTCTAATAGTGTGCGGAGGATCAGGGAGGCATTAGAAGCCGGAAGGCATCATTCGGAATTATTTTTGAATTAGTAAGTTTAATTGCGTCCAGTACGCGCACATATGCTGACAATCGAACGGTGTAGCCGTCGCGATGGCTCTCCCTTTATGAATCTTCTGCAGTGCGCTCCACTATGCGACAGCCATGGTAGAGTGCGGTACTTCATCGGGGCTCAGATCGATGTCAGTGGGTTGGTTATGGACGGTGTTCAGATGGAGTCGCTGCGAGATTTGCAAAAGCAGCAGATGAGGGACGGTGTGGAAGTCGCAGAGGCACCGATTGGTATCCAGAGAGACGAGTTCCGTGACTTGAGTGAGCTATTCAGTCCACGCGAGCTGAAGGTCACTCAAGACATCGGAGGAAGTCTTTTCCAACCTATGACTTCCCCGGCATTGCGTAATAGCTTCCGGACAAGGTGGTCTGTTGCTGAAGGTGAGGAATCTGTCGAGGCCGATGGGATAAGAGAGAAAGATACCAAGATGGGGACGGCGTTGGTTGGTGTATATGAGAATGTGAGTGCCTCTCACCTAATGTGTGACAGAGTGCTAACTGTTATAGTATCTTCTTGTCCGTCCATATCCATCACTAAGGATATTGTTCACTTCGCCCTCGCTGCAAATCCCTGGAATACTGCAGTCCTCCTTTCTCTCTAGAATCGGGAGTAGTGCAGCAATTAGGGATGAATTACTGCATGCATTGATGAGTGGTCGGAGCGTCACAGCAAGGATCAAATGGTTGAATAGATTCAATGCACAGGGAAGGGATAGATGGGTTCATTGCACGCCGCTACTGGCGAGTAATGGGGAAGTAGGAGTTTGGATGGTGGTGGTTGTAGATGATGATGAGTGACATTAACCGTCACTACTATGTTCGTGACTTGCACATGAGCACATCATAGTAACAGTGAATATAGAGATAAAAACCATCATGTGCTCATGCAAGCGTTATCCCCATCGATAAATAACATTTGTGACTTTCAGAATTCCTCTCATTCCTCATTCATTCCATAAATCATTTCCGAGACAGTATATCCTCACCGTCTAATGTTATCTACCTAGCCAGCAATCCCTCCACTTCCTCATCCTCTCCCTCACCACCCCTCACCATATCCTCTGAAATCTTCAGTGCCTCTTTTCTTCCCTTCTCTGCATCCACCATCCATACCAGAGGAATAGGCAAGACAATCAACACCGCAATAAAGAAAAACCCACTTCGTACCTGCCCGGTTGCATCGATAAGCACCCCGACGATTGCAGGTCCGATGAACGAGCTCCCCTTGTCTGTCGCAGCGTAAAGTGCATAAAACGCGGCTTCCATACCGGGAGGAATCAACAATCCGAAGAAACTCCGACAATACGAAGACAGCCCACCGGAAACGACTCCATGCACAATGGCAAGGGGATATATTTCCCATGGCTGCTGCAGTCCGATCACGCCCCAGTTTTTGAATAGAGGAATGTATGCAAGCATACCATAAAGCGGGATGAGTTCGAACAATGCAATACAGACCATGATGGTATGGTTGGACTTGAGACCGAAGTACCGGGAGACAATAGGCCACAGGAACGCTCCTGCCATACCGGAAAGTGTTGCGGTGATGGAAAGAAGGGCAACCATGGTTGTGCTCATCTTAAGTTCGGTGCGGGCGAAGAGGATTGCCGTACCGGAGACGGTGGCCATTGCGTCTGAGAGGAGGAACCACGCCACGAGGAAAACAATCACTTCGCGGAGTTTGAGAGCTATTTTAACCGTTTTCCACAGTGATTTCCACGCGAAGGCGACGAGGTGAAGCCAGATGCGCCAGCGGGGTTGGCGGCTGCTTGCGCCCGTTGAAGTAGATTCGAGGGGTGGTCCGGGACGGCTGCGCAGCCAGCGCCGGCTCACCATGGTGAAGCTAAACCACCAGATGCCAACGAGCAGGAGCACAAAGCGCAAAGGAAGCGTGCCAGAGGCCTTGGAAATCGAGGTTTTGGACAGGGTGAAGAGCAGCAGGATGCTGAGTATTTGGACAAACACTGCTGCGCAGTAGCCGAGACCAACGCCCTTGGAGGAGATCTTGGTGGACAACTGCATTTCTGGGGAGGAAGTGCCTGTTGCGCCGCCTAGACCGAGCCCGGTTGGAGGGCGATGGTTTGGTTCGTCCCTATCAAAGGATGTGCGGGCGTGCACGTATTCGGCTTCTGGATCGAGCCGATGCAGTTCAGCGGCGGACTCCTTGTTGCTGTTCTGAATGGAGGGGTCATTGGCGACGAGCACTGGTAGGAAGGAATTCAGTACGACGAAGGACGAGCCGAGACAGACGACTCCAACGACGACTAAAAGCGCACCCAGTACGAATACTGGAGGCGCGACGAAAACGAATAGCATGCTTGTTGCTGATCCGATAAATCCAAATGCGACAAGAAGCGTCTTGCGATTGTTCTCTATACGATTTATCAGCATTGCCTTATACTCCGAATAAGGCAGTGGGTCATACCATAGTCTGCCAGTGCGCTGAATGAGATCAGAGTCAACGCCTGCACCAGAACCGCCAGAGAGAAAGTATACATGGCGAAACTGGCTGTGTTGATCTCCAATCCCATCAGTCCAACCACACACTGCTCATTGGTGTCATCGCGGCGAAACATGGCTGGGGAAGATTCCTTGGGCGCGGAGGGCGAGTCGGGACCGACACACGGCAAATGGCTGCTTTGGAGGAACCCGCGCTCACGGGCCAATTGCTCCAGTGTGAGGGGAAGGAATGAGCCTATACGATATCATTAGCATTGCAAACAGGAGGATGCGTTCAAGAAAGGGATTACACACCTACGCCGCATACCGCGAACACTTCAGCAGCTATACCATAGGCGTACCATCCCCAGATTTCCTGGCGGCTGGTGGGCGTTGTATCCTCGCCGGGATAGCGCGGCGCGCGGGCCTGGCCATCCTCATCCGGAGGAGAGGCCGGCGGAGATGCAAAAGCCATCAGAGGAAACAGGATTGATGAGCAGGGGACCAGAGGAACTTCACAGCAGGTCCATCAAGGGAGAAAACACGATCGAAGTCACATTCGGAGGTCTCGGAGACCTGCGGAGATGAGTCCAACCAGTGTTGTGCTGCTGACTCAGCCAGGCAGTGTGCACAACTCAACACTAATGCACTCTACGTCATGGGGATCCACTTTGGCTGTTCTTATCAGAGCAACTGATCCGATCGATCGATATCGGCTTGGCTTGCCGGCTTCACATCTCTTCATGTGCCCTCACTAGATTCCATGTCAGGCTGGTATGTCCTTGTGCTTGTGCTCATGCCTGACCGTGAAATCTGTCGCCGTTCTGCACATTTCTACACCATAATTGCCTCATTCAGGGCTCTCATGTTCATCCAGTGAATCATTCTCTCACGGCTTTCTAGCCCCTTTCAGACGCGGGGCATTATTTCCTGGGCTTAGAGTATGACTGACAGACGGCTATTAAATTGACCAAAGGTAACACTAGACTGCTGCTGTTTCTATGGAAATGTCACTTAGTCTAGGGCAGCCGGCCACGGGCCGGTTCAGGCGCTTTTCCTCGACTGCGTTGAGCCCTTCTCTGTCAACAACACGTCGAAATTCTTTCTTCCTCTGTTCCTTCTTTTCACCTTCTTCTTCTTCTGCCCTCATCCTCCAAACACATACCATCTCTCTAAGTATTTAATGTCTTGAACACACCCCTTGATCATCCAAACCTTTCCACACGTCCATACCACCTGCTGCAGAGGACCGACACCATGTTCTCGGTTCTCTTCCTCTATTTGCAGCTTTTGCTGTTCAAAATGTTGTACTACGTTAGAGGCCATGACAAGAACCTCATCACCAAGTCCGCCGCTTTTGCTCACTTGCCTGAGCCAAATATGAAGCTCGAGGCTCCTGAGTGCGGGCTGCCCGGATGTAGCCTCCTCGACCATCACACCTACCTTGACATTGAGAAGGGAGGCAGATTTCCCAACCTCCGATGGACTATGCCTCGCTGCGGAGAAGCCAGAGAGTTTGTACTGATTTGCGAAGATCCCGACGTCCCCATCCCGTCTATGGTCTTCGTTCACGGCCTTTTCTTCGAGATTCCACCCACTTGCTTCGTTGCCTACGATGATGACGTTGACATGAATCCCAACATGCCTGGCCGCATCACCTTGGCTGGTTGGAGATACGTTCCTAACCTTCTCGGGTCGTCTTACATCGGTGCCTCGCCCCCCTACGGCCACGGTTATCATCGCTACATTTTCACCATCGTCGCGCTGAGCGAGCCCCTTGACATTGCCCAGCCAGACAAGGCCACCGTCTCAGTCATTAAGGAGGCCATGGCTGGCAAAGTCATCGGATGGGGTGAATGGTTAGGCACCTATCAGCGCACTATGCCTCGCTAACTTGCGTATCTGCTCCTTCGCCAAGTCTTCTTGGTTCGTCTCTTTATGCGAGTACCTACTTTCAACACGTCTTTGATTTACGTCTAGGAAGGATTACAGATAGCTCGTTGGGATGACATCTGGACAGAATGTGGTGGATTGATTGACCTTCCTTAGACTGGTCTTCTTTGGAGTGGTCTTCTTTGAACTGGTCTTCTCGTGACTGGTCTCCGTCTGTTTTCCCTTTTCAATTCTGTTGTCGACTTGACTTTTCTCGCGACTCGTCATCGTGTTGTTTTTTCTTTGCAGTTTATGTTCTCGACTCAATGTTTCTCATGACTGATCACTCGTGTGTTGTTTTACATCATATGCTGCTGGTCTTAGTACCAGTCTAATCATTGATTGAGCTAACGCGTCGGAACCCAATCTAATTTATTAACTTGCTTGATCTCACATAATATATAGGATACACCTCGTCCTCGCCCCTCACTCCTCGTCGTCCTTCACGCCCCTACACGATTCAGTGTTAGCCACAACCACGAGCCCAGAATGTATAAACGACCTACCAGAGTTATCCTCAACTTGCTTCATGAACACTGCGAACCTCCGCATGGTGGCTTCAACCGACGACTCACACGCCCGTAGCGTTGCGGGGCCCGCACATCGTCCCCCTTCAATAGCCTCTTTCCCTAACGACCTGAATATCTTTTGCAGAGTCTCCAACACCTCCAAAATCTTCGTTAAGTTCCTCCCCAGTAGTGTTCTTACAAGCATCACCGACTCCCTTTCATCCAGCTCTATCTGCCCCAACACTGTCTTACTCTTCATACAGATAAATTGCGGCAATGGCTCCTCGAACGCCAACACTGATGGATCAAATAGCATGTTTCCCCTCGTAATATTATATGCTATACAGACGGCTTCAAATAGGGAGAGACATTGCTCCGCCAATGCTGGTATCATCACATATGATGAGTGTGGGCTTTTTCGACAGTTTTGGCATTGGAGTACATCCTTGCCGTGTTTATATACCCTTTGAACGATATCGAGAACCGTGCCGAGTTCAACAACGGGCTGGACAGTCCGGAGCTCCGTAATTATTTGAAGTCCATTAATCGAGCAGGGGCAGTTGGTAGTGGACGGTTCCATTCTGGTGGCGTGCTGGGGCATTTGGTGCCCCGTTGACATTGCTGATGTGGGTTCTCTATTGACGGTAAGTCTTATCATCCTCCAGATGCTGTGTGATGGAGGGCTTGGGATATGACTCAATCTAACTTCATACTTGCCTTCACGTGTCGTTCCATTCAAGTACGACCTCGGTGGGTGTGATTCATGGCAGCCTCACATTTCCGATCAACCTTGAAGGAATTGGCTTTGTTGGTCCAGAATATCTGGACAGCCTGTTCGTCGTGGAACATGTTGTCATTCGACCCGCAGTGGGTTGCACAGATATCGTTGTGACCGGTAGGCTGGTCGACGTATAGCAATTTGGCTTGGATTGAATACGAGAAGTGGACCCTTGCTTTGGCGATAATCTGAAGGCAATACTGATTGTATTCTGATTTAGGAGTTACGGGAGTTCAGAAGCAGGATACGGCCTAGAAAGGTCGTGGAAAATGCAACCAATAGTCGAATCAAAACTAATCACTACAAAGTTTCTAAACTATGAACAGCAGTGCCATCGCCTACACCCTGATCATCCTCTTCATTTGCAACATAACCTCCTCCAACCGCCTCTCAGTCTCCTTAGTCAGAGATACGCGAGCGGACGATTGTTGCGTATAAAGTGTGATTCTTTTGACCGTTGCCAGCAGATCCGATAATTGACTGTACAAGATCTGCAAGATGCAGAAGTACTTGTCACCAGACTGGACGCAGAACTTTCCCACTACCAATGGACATGCATCAATTTGACTCCTGAAATGCAGTCCACCACTCCGGTGCCGTCTGCTCACATTTCCTAGAAGATCCTGCTTGCAATCCGGCAGCATATGCTCATGATACCCGTTGTAAAGCAGTCTTTGTGGATTCCCGGCTTCCCCTGTCGTTATAGCCTCCAGATTTGTCATCAGACTGTCGATATTGACAACGATGACCATGAGTATATCCCTCTTCGTGATGCAGCAGACGCAACATTTGAGAATGGTATCGGATACATTCAGCAGCATACGTTGACAGTGAAGAATATGGTCAATCGACATATACGGCCCCATCCTTACGGCGATCGACATCTGCCTGAACGATTCCTGGATCGTGTACTCGTGACACTGGAATTGATATGCGTGCGGCGCTAGAACGGCTGACACGGGATTTATCTCTCCCGCAGGGAGGCCATATAGGTATGGTCTCTTTGTCATCTTCGCTTGAGCAAATGCAGTAGTTTCGGTGGCTATCTGTCTGGCTGGGAAAGGGTCCATCGTGGAGAATGGCAGCGACCAAGCCAGGGGGTCTTCCTTCAGATATTTCGCCTCTGACGGGGCGTCCATGATACCATGAATTTTCTCCAAGGTCGTGGCTGCGATAAGCGGTGTATCCTGAATAAAGCTTGTCGAGTTGTGCTTCGGATCTACTGGAGAACGACCACCAGTACTTTCAGGCTTGACGCTGCTTACAATCGAATCCAGCAGCAAACCTTCCTGCCCGAGATCGACCGGCGGGTTGGCAATGAACTCTTGCACCCAGCTATCGGAAAATAGATCGAAGCCACTATCCGCGACTATTCCAATTAACATCACACAGCGGTATAATAGCCGACAAGTTAGCGACACTTACACAAAGCTGTGGGAGTAGCCTCATCCAAGTAGCAATCGCCCGGTAAACTTGGAACCGAATCTATCACACCAACAGGGTCCAAAACACTTTGGCTCCCACCTGCCTTGTCCAGTAACAGTAGAGTATCATCCAACACAGTCTCGTGCTCGTCTTCTAGCTTCATCTTCTTCTTTCTGTTATTGTTACTGCTGTTATTGCTGTTACTGTTCTTGGGACCGTTCCGCGCTCGCGACTCTTGCTTCCGAGGCCCGTCCAGAAACTCACGATCCCGACGATAGTCGCTCTCGTCGTCAACATCTTTCTTCTTGGCTGGTCGCCCTAACCGTCGCGATATGCTGTAGACACAGTCGATTTGGTGTTTCTGACACCGACGACAGGCTGGCTTCTCATGGCTGCAACGGATCTTGGCTTGTTGGCAGGCGTTGCAGGTGGAGCGGACTTTAACGCTTTTAGGCAGTGGATGGGGATGCTCGTTCATGTTGAATAGATAGATATATAACCAGTATAGATAAGAAGAACACTGCTATATTACTAGCGTAGTAATAATTCACAGCAATAAGTAAAGCTCTCCTGCATCATCCTCCAGGGGGTTACATACTACTTATATGTTAGTACTATAATAATAGTATGCAGCAGTCAGTACTACTTACTACAACAACTACTACTACTAGTAGCCATACTAGCAAACCCAACCCAACCACACACCACAAATCCCAGCATAGAGGATACTATGAACTAGTTGACCACCACGCCACGCCGAGCCACGCCATGATGCCACGCCCTGCACGCCCTACCACACAGGGACAAGTTCCCACACAGTAAGCAACCCGTTCGAACGGGACGACGGGTGGGTGATTAAGTCGAGGTTACATGGGCGAGAGAAATCTTTTCACGTTCCACACGACCCTTCTGCCACTACCACCTACTAGTCTACTACCCACTTAACCCCTATTTTCTACCGCTAAGGCTGATCCCAAAGAAGACCGTCTCTGTCGTTCTTGTCTCATATGCCCAGAAACTCAGATTTTGAGTTCTGAGTTACTACTACTTGTCCTACCACCCTTCTTGCCCTCCTCCTACATGATGATGATTGGGGAGAGACGTGCTTCCCTCCACCTCCCCCTTACCCCGGATAGCTTGCTTTGTCTGTGTAGGCTGGACTGGACTAAGTGTTGATTGTAGGCTGGTGTAGTGTAGTGTAGTATATGCTTGTCATCAGTTCTGTTCAGCTTTGGTGCTGCTGCTACTACTGCTGCTGATGATTGGAGGGTTCCCAATAAGGTAGGTCTATCCCCCTAGGTTGTGTTCCATGGTGTGGTGCCTATTACGAATATGGTAGATGGTTCGTGCGTGCTGATTCATTCATTCATTTGTTTTTTGTTCAGAAAGTAAGGTTTTACCATACCGCCTTGTTGGGTCGGATTTAGGCTATAGCGCTAGCTGAGTCGGGCCTGGGCCTGGACCTGGATTTCTTCGATGAAGTTGTTACTCATTGCTAGCGTGGTCTCTTTGGGGGAGTCGATAGTTGTAGCAGCAATAGCAGTACTAGTAGTGAAAACAAAAGTACTGCTGCTGCTAACATCACACTCAACCCACCTCATTGAAGTCGTCGTTGTAGCCATATTCATACTCGTAGACGTAGCAACTCCTCCCTCACTCTCACTTCCAGTAGGTAAATCAACCTCATTCCTAACGTAAAACCAATTCCCCGCTACGGGCGTCCCCAGCCCCGCTGCATCGGCAAAGAGTTTCATGTCGAACCCTGCTCGTGCCTCCGCTGTAGGGGGGAATATGTGCTCGAAACATTCTGGGAAGATGTAGTTGGATGGTTGAGTGTACAGGAGGTAGAGGTATCGGTGGTGAGAGTTGGTAGGGGGTTGGGGGCCGATGTAAGGTGCTGATTTTCTGGTGGGGACTTGGGGGTTTGGGAGGAGGATGTTGGTGTTGTTGGGGTATGGGATTAGGTCGGGCTGGTACCAGTGCAGGATGACGGTTGCTGTGGTGTGGTTGTAGAGGACGTCGAGGTCGAGGAAGAGGATGATGTACGTTTGGTGAAGCGGAAGGTGCTGGGTGCTGAGGATTGGGAGGGGCTTCGTGTCTGTTATTGTTGGGTTAGGGGGTGCGTGGGAAGAGGGGAGGTGGTGGGGAGAGGGTATACCGAGTATTTGGAGGGTGTCGCCGGGTTGGATCCATGGGGTGTTGGGGTAGTGGAGATGGAGGGTTTGGGAATAGTGTGGAAGGGGGTCGATGATCTGGGTACTGACTAGAGGGATGAGAAGGGAGATGAGGAGATAATAGTTCATAATGGTCTTTGGAATGGTAGGTACCAGGTGTAGCGGTAGAAAGTGTGCGAGATATCATGTATGTGGGCTTAGATTTGAGACTTTATTATTAATACTATCTCACGGGCTTCAGTGTAACAGAACGGGAAATATTGTCAGCCGGTGATTATTGCAATCGGCTCTCACTGTCACTATTCTGCTACCGGTTTATATCTCTCATCTGCACATCTCCATAACATCCCCTTCACATACACCCACCCTAACAGCGGACACACTACAGCCCCAACCATTCCTCCCACCAACCCGTATGTCCATCCAGTTCCCCAGCGTACCACGGCTGGATGCACTAGTCCTGTTGCTGCTGCTCCTAGAAAGCACCGCACCAGGTTATTCGCCGCCATGGCTGTGGCGGGTGTACTGTAGTACAAATCCACAATCAGAATATTCATGATGTTGTAGGCTGCTGTGATAGAGAAGCTGATGGCGAAGATGAGGACAAGAGCGTGGGAGAGGGTCGGCGTGGCTAGGCTCATGAGCGCGGAGTAGCTTAGAATAGACAAGGCTGCTAGAAGCTATGATATGGTACTCATCAGTCAATAACGTCATCAAGTAATGTCAAGAATGAGGGGTAACACCGTCAATGGGAGACAAATTTGGATTCGGGCCCGCTCAATTGGAAATGCTCCGTGGTGGTGCGCTTGGAGAATCGGAGACCCGAACTGCTCCCGTAGACGCCGATAATTCCAGTCGAGCAGGAGCCCGCTGAAGGTTGTGCTTAAAAGGGATCCCACGCCAGCAGGAACGAAGACTAATCCGATTGCGAAGTCATTCAGATGGTAGGTCTCCTTGAACTGTGATGGGATTCCAGCAGTGACAGCGTAGTAGCTGGCAAAGAGAAGGCCGTTGGACAGTAAGACGAGCCCGGTTGGGCGGTGCGAAAGAAGACGCAACGTTGTTAGTGGATTAGGAAGGGCAATCCTCGAAGATTTCTGGCCCGGGGTACTGGTAGTCGCGGGTGCTGGATTGCGCCAATGTCTGTACCAAGCCAGGCCAGACTGGTTCCAGCTGTATGGTGAAATGGAGCCATCACCTACGATCTTGCGACATGTTTCCGGGAAGAAGATGAGGAGGGGGGCAAAGAATACCCCAGATATTATTGCAAGAAACCAGAAAATGGCCTGCCAACCCAGGTACTGACTTAGGATCCCCCCAACCAGGGGTCCAACAGACGGCGCAAGGATGATCCCTAGAGACGTGATTCCCATATATGTACCGCGCTCAGCGGATGTTATCACGTCTGCAGCCACAGCAGAAGCGAGCGCGACGGTGCCGCTGCTACCGCAGCTCTGGATGGCGCGAAGGATCAGCAGTGCCGGGTAGCTGTGCTGCAAGGCGAGCGCGATATTACCTGTGATATAGACGGCAAAACAAAGGATATATGCTGGTCGACGGCCGGCTTGGTCGGCGAAGGATCCCATAAAGGCCGGGGCGAGACCTTGACATAGCTGTTCGGTCAGTGCAGCCAACTGCTGATGAAAAATTTCACACGTACCATGTATGTTGTGATTGTCAAGTTAATCTGCGAGCTAGTGACATGTAAGTCTGCAGCAATGGAGTTCAGAGCTGGATAGTAGATGTTAGCGGAAAGTGGTGAGAAACTGGACGCAAGCGCGGCGGTTAGGATGATGAGCCGTTTCTGGCCAGGTGTAAAAATCGAGTATGGCTTCTTCGCGGGCTGTTCAGCCAGCAGGGGTGTGCCTTCGGTGGCAGGCTGGTTCGCTGCCACCAGAGTCGCTTGATCTTGCTGATTGTTTGACATGATCTTCAACTCTATGCCCGAAATCGGAGGATTTCAGTTGTCCCAGCCAAGATTATCTTACTTCTAGACGAATACTGCATGCTCGTGAAAATCATGATTTGCTCTATCACCTAGTGTGACAACTGACGTATATACCATTCAACCATACTTACAATTTCGGCAATAGTCTTTCCTCTGCCTCCCCTGTGTAGATGTGTGATGGCCGCAACAACTTGCCGCGTGTCACTGTAGGTTGTTAGAAAGTCCCGATATATCCTACCGTCGCATCACGGCTTACGCATGTACTCCCGCCAATGCGCCATAATTCCCATGATCCGCTGGGCCAACATAGCCGCTGGGATGATCTCCGGGTCGAAGCCACTACACGTGTCAGCAGCGGGTCCAATCGAGCAAGGCTTTCCTTCGGGCGCCGTACATGGCTGTAAAGATGAAATGTCCGTAGAAGTCACCGTTCACGTACAGCTCCCGCTCTGTGAAGTAGGCATCATTCGAACAAGCTCTCTCAATCCGCTCGGCTAGTTTAAAAAGCTTGTCTGCAGACATATCCAGATCCTTCAATATGGATCGGATTGGCGGCACTCGCGGATCGATGCCTTTGTACGAGCGATGGCCATACCCAAACACCTTCACGTGTCCCTGCTTCACGTTGTGAATATAACCTGGTATATTCTCGGCCTCGCCAATATCCCTCAAGGTTCTCTTGGCGGATTCCGTGGCGCCGAAATGCAGCGGCCCCCACGCCGACCCTATGGCCGTGATCAAGCAGGAGATAGGATCCGTCAAGGATGATGATGTGGCCAGAGCAGAGAAGACTGTCAATGCCATTCCGTGGTCCGAGTTGAGGATAGAAAACCGCCGGAAGCAAGACAGCTTGACACGATCGGGACAACCTGTCCTCGAGTCCACAAGTCCCGCCATCACAAAAAAATTTTCATAGTATGACCTTCCCCTAGATGGCGGCGTAAATCGTAGACCCTTCCGATGACTATTCACAAGGCCAAATACCACAGCGTAGGCAGCCACAGTTCGGATTATTGCACGGTCGGTATCCTCCGGATTATTCCGATACATGTTAGCATCATGCGATGCCGGGATCATGTCAGGGTGACTAGCTAGACAAGCCGAAAGGCCAGCAACAATGAGCGGCAGCGGCGACGAGGTGCCTCTAGACAGACACTTCATCAGCGATGGCAGACGCAGATCCAATTTACTTACGGAAGGCTCCAGATCGTTCTCTGCACATCATCTGGCACGGCTAGCATGGCCTCTGTCAATTTGTGGCTGAGATTATTCCTCTGCGGCACTGTCGGATAAGATCCCCAGACAAGGAGATGCAGTACGTCCTCGAAATCGCTTTGCCAAAGTTGCTCCAAGCTGTAGCCGCGGAAAAGAAGCAAACTCCTCTCATGATCCCTAGAACAGTCAGGTCGTTCCGTCACTGCAGTGGAACTCGTACGAGAAGCTTATGGCCGTCTCCACAACAGTAGTATTTCTCAACCCAGGGTCATGTACCCTGAGGCCACCAGCGACCTGATCTGCACGGTCGGCTCCCGTTCCTGGGCCTTTGATTCTTTTGAAGTCCACGGCCGAGACGGCATTTCTCCGGATTGGGATCTCATATTGCACATCGGTGCGCGAGTCTTTGACATAAAGTATTCCGGAGGACATTGAATTGACGATGCTCCGTAGCGGGCTCGCTAGTCGAGTTCTGTGGCATAGATGCCCCGCCATGTTGGCGAAACTATTATCTTAAGAACGCCTGGGACCATGGCATAATTTCCCGGTGGTTAGCAAATGCCCGCAATAACAGATTGTCTCGGGTTTCCAAGATTCCGACAGTGTTGCTTCCCAAGTATTGACCGTCATCAATGTTCCAGTCGTCCGTTGCAGCTTACTCGGCTTCTTGCGGAGTAAATTTCTCGCGTGTATGGCAGTTAGCCATAGTGGTACTATGCCTTATTCCGTCGTGGCACGCCATTCTTTAAGGGCACTTAAACATCGATTCTCAACGCTGGTGGCCAGGTCTCACTCTTTACAGGCTTCTTAGCGAGCGGGACTGGTTGGTTAAAGGGTGTGACATTCCAAGAAACGGAAGTGAATTCGATGAATATAGAATTGTTTCAATATTAACTACATTGCATAATATTCGTCATATCATAGCATGTTTTGTGAACCCTCCATTCGGTGCTTGCTTACTCGGGCATATTCTTGAAAGGCTTCTCCAAGTGCTCCTGGCAAAAAGGAAGCTTGCTAACAGTCCAAATCTCGGTATCCTGGAAGAGAAATTTGAATCAGTAAGGGGGCTATTACACGGGATCGCAGAACATACGGGCTTGAGATTTTTCTTGATTTCTGTGTCAAAAGTGCCAGCTTTCAGGGCGATGATTTCTGGGGCCGCGTCGGGATCGTGCGCGATGGGTGAGCCACAATCCGAACAGAAGAGACGGTGCACCGCATGGCCGGAGGATCCCGTTCCAGACCACTTCTTGATGGGTCCCTTGACCGTCAATTTGTCCTTGGGGACAACGGCAACTAGAGCTGTTGGGAAGGTCAGTAACCATGGAACGGCCTTGCTTAGTTCGAACTGGGGGTGGGTGGGAGCCAAGGAGAACACCTACAGTAGGTTGACCCGCTTTGACGCTGGCAGTCGTCACAATGATCGTACCCCACGATGAGGGGTGCGTCGACGTCCACAGTGTAAGTGACAGCCTTGCACAGGCAGTGGCCGGATAAAGGCATTCTAGCAATAATTGGATGGAGAATTTGGGAGGGGTGTTGGAGAATGCTGATTGGAGAGAAGGAGAGACTGAAGGCGACCAAGGTGCTCACGAGATGAGGACCCTCGAGAAAAGTGGAAGACGAGGCGACGTATTTATAGCTGACATCTTGCCCATCCGCGAGGTTGAGAAGATTATCACCCAAGGATCCGGATGGGCGATGGGGTGGAAGAAAGCCGTTCTCGTTGACGACATGGCTGGATGGGCTGGAATTGGCGTTGGCCGCGACCGTCTGAGAAAACAACAATTTGTCATGCCCTAAAGAGGGGCGCCCCTTTGCGTCACGGGACAACCTCTCTGCTTCGTTCCTTCTGTTCTCCCTTCTCCAATTTTCTCCACTTCTCGTCCCTCGATGCGATGCACGGTTGCTTTCCTTTCCTTTCTTTGTTACGCCTCAAAAAGAAACTTCTGCTCTAGTCCCCTTGCTCACTTCTCGGACTCCATTTCCAGCGGGTGGATCTCTCTCTCTCCCTCCCTCTCTCAGAGCAGGTTTCGCAACAGCCGCGGTAGTTACGGAGTTACGCCGGAATCCAATCACTCCCTCACTGCACTGCCCTGGACTCTCACCAATCATCCTCCAGCTGCCCCATATCAATCAGGGTGCTGATCGCACACTTGACATGCTACCATCCCGAAATGGTGTGGGCGGTTGTTCCAATAGACGTGTCGATTTTAGTCCACAAACCATGCTAAACCGGATAAGGTGCAGTGCTGGTCCCTCTTTCCATCCTACTCTTTCCGGGCAAAGATTTGTCACGCTCTACCCCGGAGATGACCGGCAATGTGCTCTGAGTTAGTAGTCCATAATCGTGGAGATTTGAGATTCCTGATCCCGAATGGGGGAGCACTGGCCGCCGATCGCTGGCCGACAGCTTCGCGACACGCGGGTCGGCGGGGGATTTGTTGAAGTCACCTCAAAAGCCCGTGAAGTATCCGGTCAACCGAGCAAAGTACGCTTCCTATGCATTACTCCACACCATGCGTGAGCTCCGAGTCATAGTGGGTATGTGTTTGTGTCGGCAAAAGCAATTACCTGCTCACCGAATGCCAAAATTTGGGCGAATGTCAGATCTGCGCGGGGTATCCCTGCTCAATATCTCCAGTCACGTATGCAGCACAATCTCCCGGAAGGCTTGATACCTGCTTACTAGTAGACAGATATCATGTTTGATGCATGAATCGACCTATCATCTGCTGGAGCTGAAACCTTGTCCTCTGGGGCACTGTTCAGCACGGTATGTAGGTAGACATGAAGAAACTTGTACATCGTTGCCGAGGGCAAACACTTGTACTCGCGTTCAACATCACCCCTGGGTTTGTTCGGTCTTCATGGCCTAGGCTGCACTTTGTCGTACGCTGCTTACTCCTGGGGCATGACGCTAACTGTGCAGCAAGATGTGCGATAATCCCAAAGGATGGCCCCCAAATAGAGCTGCAGAGAGTATGCCACTGCATCATGTTTGGTTTCGGCGTAGAGATTCGGATGTGACGGTTTCCAGTTTACCATCAATTCGGGCTCTGATGCGGTTTCCAAAACAAAATAGCCGATTGGCATCTACGGAAACATAACCTTTCTGGGTAGGACCCAAATGCATTTGATCACTCTACATATGCGAAGCCATGCATAATCAAGCATCCCAGCCCAATTATTGCCTATGTATTCTACATTCTCACTAGACAGGGTGTCTAGTGAGCGAAAGGCATGCGAGATATGGAATTGGGAAAGAGATGTGATAAGGGCGGTCAATGATCGCACATGGAACAATTATGATCGTATGGCAAGCTACCGACTGGTCTTCAGCCAGTCCATAGTTTTCGGTTGTCGGAAGCCACTCACAGACAGGGATGCATCTCAATGCGAGACTCAGCTCATAACATTGACTTCGTAGTGCTTTGTAAAACATTCGTTGTGACTTGATAAGCTTGCACAACTATTGTGATAATGTTATGTAGAAATGACAGAAGCTAAAATTAGCCATCCGTTCTCTCTTTTAAGACATGTCTTGGACTCATTGATTATCTGATGTCCAGTTGTTCGAATATGTGGCTTATCTTGCACAGAGTAACAAACTTCTAGTCGTTATATTTGTTACAAATAATAAGACAAACACAATACCAAATTCGATCTGAAACTGTCATCATTCCTGCTAATGGACTCCGGTGTACCTGCTTGCTATGCACTATTTGTTTGTGATAAGTTCTGTCAAACTTGAGTCTTAGTAAGGTTAGCCCCGATATGCATGTTCGATTTTGTCAGCAGCACTCTAGACTAGTTAGTATCAGCTATGTTCAAGATCAGAGACAGGTACGAGGCCCTCAACATATTGATTTTTTTTTTACACTTACCTGCATCTATGCCGCAATCCCACCGCGTGTATTTTGTTCGCCATATATTGTCGATTCAGCATGCTGAGCCTCTCTCGCATCATCCTTTGTAATGTACACAGAAGCCTCTCCCGGTATAGCAGGGACCCCAAGGGCCTCGTTACGGTCTGCTATCGATCGAACTCGCGCGGAGACGGACCCAGGGCCAGGTGGCTTGTTAAAGGCGCGACCCTACATCAGAAAAATTTAATTATGATGTTCATTATTCCAAAAAGAGCAGCCATAACGCTCTTACCTCTGCCGTGTGAAGTTCTCGAGCATCCTCCTGTGTAATGTGGCTCTGTGGCTTCCGCGACAACGCCTCCAACTTCTCGTCGAAGTTCATCTGCTTCATGGCAAGGCTTTGTACCGTCGCTGTGCACTTGGGTCAATACGACGCCGCAATGTCTAGACCTACGAACAACACCTGCGGCTCCACCGCTGATCGGCCCACCACCGGTCAATTCGCTCTCGTTCTGCGCCAAAGCAGAGATTGGCTCAAGTGCTGTGGTTTGGCTTTCAGGATATCTCTCTACTAACAACCGAAGGACAGCCACCAGAAGACTCCATAATTGTTTGAATCGAGCTGGGCCCAAATACTACTGATTTTGTCGCTACTACCAAATAGTCTGTGTGGACCTTTGTCGTCACTGCGCCTTCACAGAACTCTACATACAAACTTTGCTATGTTTAACAAACCTCCCCCCCCCCGGCCACTAATCCACATCAATTCTCTCATTGTCCGGTAATTGCACCTTGGAAAAAATGGCGAATTACACAGACTAATGGGTGGAATGACAGCTCAAAGCAACCTCCATTGCGAATCCAACGGTGGGGGGCTGTCTTAATATCGGGACGCCTTCAGGAACGTCTATATTCGTCTACAAAGAACGCTCTGCTCCACGAGCACTGAAGTGCTTCTACTGCAACAATACTAAAAGACACGCAAGCACCTTTTCCAGTGTCACGTCACATCACTCGATGTAGCAGCAACCTTCTGGTGCGTCTGTGGCACAGTAACATCGTATTTCGCCAAGAATGTGGTCTGATATAGAATCTTAGGTCTAGAGACCTGGCCGGCAACTTGCAGGTCTTCAGTGGAAAAGCCACTACCCATGCGCCCCGACCCGATCTACAATCGTGTTACTTGAAGGGTTACAGTACTGTACCAACGGGGTGGTACGCTACATATGCGCTTGGCCGCATCAGCAACCATAGGGGTTGGAAGGAAAAGGGAGGCAGATTGTGTTACTGTTGAGGGTGGTTCAGGCATGTGGCTTTTTGATGACCTCATCTCAAGCTGGCATTTGATCCAAGCCACTGGGACTGATCTCAGATCATGAGCTCTGTAGCCGAATGGTGGGGCAAATATTTAGGAGTTATGATAATCGGGGTATCCTTCCCTTGTTGAGGGAGAATATCCTAGCAGTCATGCCATCTGTGTGGAGGGGCGCATACGTGTGAGCATATGTGTGAGTATCCCGAGAAGTTCCAATGCATTGCACCCTTCTAGCAGATTAGTCCTCGTTTTTACTACTATGTATGTCTGGTAAAGTGGTAGTTTTTCTTGGTAGCATAAGGATACTATGTATGCAGTTGGTGTCAATCATTGTTCCAAGATATAACTTATTTCCGTCGCTTCATGAATATAGCAATGCTGGATTTCCGCCGATGACCATTCCAGGGGTGAATAGAAATGTATCTCATTATATCTTTACTTCGCATACAATACATATCAATGAATTTTAACCTTGGGTTGCAGGTGAATGAACTACTTGGTACTTTCGCAGGCCAAGAGTCACAGCGATAGCGATAAGCACAAGCCGGTACCGGGGATACGGGCCAATGACAGTATGTCTTCTTCCGGGTTCCCGTGATTCATAAAGCCGGTTCCGGCACAACAAGGCTTGGTGGCCAAGAGTTTCCCAATGGAAGCATTTGGGGGTCTCTAGGCAGCAAGAATCAGTTTGGTTAGTTTTATGACTTGTTATGGATAAGCCCGTCTTTCTCAGTTCAAATCATTAAAGCATCTTTCTATCGCGTGTGGATAAGCCTCTATATATTTTGGTCCGGTAATGACGCGACGGAGTCAGTCCTCAGCATTAGTAGGAGTAATAATCATAAATCTCCGTTATATCTTGGCTTTGCACTAATTTTGCCAGGTAAGTTGTTACATTCCAAGACTTCCGACTTCTTCACATTTCTCACTCTATCGGAGATTAGAATGGCGCTATCTCCGCGTGCTGCTCCGGAGCCAAATCTTGGCCGTCGGCGTCTCCATCATTCATCATCGCAACAACAGCAGCATGAGCCACCGGATCAAAGAACTCGAGCCCGCATGCAAGACGCTTCATTTTCAATGGCATCTAGCAAGCGAACGTAAGTTGTCGTAACCCTCTTATATAACCAGTACTAACTTGGTTGGATAATAGACCTTCACCATCGGTGAAACGAGGCAAAAAGGCCTGCACTGAGTGTAGGCAGCAGAAGGTATGGAAAGTGATCGCATGAGTGTCTTTCTTATAATGACAGAATTGGGCTCCTGTATCTCTCACTGAATGTCCCTAATTGAACCGCAGGCAAAATGTGACGCCTACTTGAATCCCAGTCAGGCGTGCTCGCGTTGTTTAAAGTTGAACATCCAATGTGTTATATCGGATCCATTTCGTCGGGAACATAAACGCAAGTAGGTTGGATCTGCACTTGTCAGGAGCAAAAGGACATAAGGAGTGACCAGTTCACAACAGGCGGCTCTCCGAGCTCGAGCAAGAGACAGACGAGCTGCGACGAAGACTAAGATATGCACAACCTGACCCCTCTCGACCCTCGCCCATCGCGATGCTAACGGCCGCGGCTGAGATGGGAGTTAGCCCAGCAACTGCCGATGGCGACTTGATCTTCCATGCTCAGCCGCATACACCCCCGGTTGAAGGTTCGCAACACATATTACCTTCCCCTGGGCTGGGACCGTCGTTACCACGGCCGGAGATGGTTTCAGGTGTACGCGCCCCTGATGCAACTGAGCCCCGTTCGCTGAGCAATGTTTACCTTACCGGAAGTGAGATAGACGAGCTCTTCCAGATGTGAGTATACCTCTGCCCGAAAGTGTCGTTCTGGGCGTTTCTAATACGGAGCAGCTTCTTCCACCAATATGCTTCCTTCCTTCCAATCCTTGACCCAGAAACCACTCCAAATATATACTATACGCAGTCACTATTTCTGTTTTGGTCTATAGTCGGGATTGCATCACGAACCTATTCCAAAAATCCAACCTTGCTAACCGCTCTTGCACGCACTGTGAACGAAATGGCCTTCCTCTCGATTGTATCGGGAAACTCAGCGTGGCACAGCATTCAGGGGCTGCTGCTAGTTCTAACATGGCCATTCCCGAAAGATGCCAATATGGCGGACGTGACGTTTCCATTGAGCGGCATGCTTTTACACATTGCCATGCAGAACGGTTTACACATCCCCATGTCCAGTCATGAGTTTTCTAAGAGAAAAAGACTTCCCGCCCCATCAGAAGCAGAAATGATCAGACGGTCAGAGCTTTGGGCTCATTGCGTTATTGTCTATCAGCGGTACGTTAGTGGTGCAGGATATTCAATTCCTTCATGCTAAAAGGATACAGTGCGTGTGTAATCAAAGGACAACCCCCTCGCTCTCTAACAAATCTGGAACCCGACGGAGAAATGAAACATTCATTGTTCCAGAGAATTTCTCCGTCGTTGGTACTTGAACTGAAGTGTGAGGATCTGAAAACTCGCTGTAGTACAGCAGTACTGGAGTTCGGGGTCCGGGACATATCTCCTGAACAAGAGAGATCGCTGGATATACTCTTACGGGCGTATGATGACCAAGCGCTTGATCTGGAGGCGCAGGCGTTCTCGGGTAAACCTGTTCATCTTTGTGTCAGCTATCACAGAAGCTAATGCATAATAGCGTACGATAGGTTTGCTACGAGCATGTGTCGTTTGAGTATCCAAATATTCCACCTCTTCCGAAATCCCAGTTCATTCTCATCAGGTTGTCTTGCAGCTCTCACAACAGCCGCATGTGACACCATTAGTAGCATACACAATCTGGGACAAAGCATGGCAGGCTTTGCTACTTCTCCCATCCAGATGAATTATGCGCTGCTTCTGGCGTCCTCGGCGCTTTTACGGGTACTGAAAGGCCCACATTGGGCTACCATGGATGTTGACAAAGCCAAGTCATCTTATTTCACTGCAATCAACTTGGCCAAGCAGATGTCAGTTGAGAACTTTGATATCGCGGCCAAGACGGTCATGGTATTAAGCCAACTATGGAATAGCACCAAAGCGTTCCGGAAGGCAGATGGGAGTGAATACCTCGCTCTTCGGATTCGGAGCCGGTTGGTTGTCAGTCCTGTTATCGATACGGTGTGGTGGTGGCGAGAAGAGTTCGACCCCCAGTTCTATATCACGGCCAGTTCCCAAAACAATGCCCCGGAAGGTACAGCCATGTGTTCTGATAGCAGATACGCGCGGTTATTGACGCATTTCTCATGTACGATAGGAACCGATGCAAGCCGCGATAATCCAGGGACTTCAGGGACCGCGCCTGGAGGCTCTACGGACCGGCCAGATTTCTCGTATTTTGACGAGCAATTCCAGGCGGATTTTGAATGGGCGTTGACGGATGAGTTTCTCTTCGCTCCCACCGAACCGTATGGACCGCTGTAAGTCGCTGATCTTTGTGAGAGCTGCGAAAGCAAAGAAAAGAAAAGCAAAGAAAAAGAAAAAAAAATGAGGATGGATGCCCATGATGGCAAAATCCGAACACCGCTACGCCCGAATTGAACCCTCGACGCTAGATCATCATTCGATCAGTTTACAGGGGTGATGTGATGGGCAGTCTATCGCGTGATTCCTATAGCCAACATAACCCACCAATAGTCTTGAGATAAAAGATGGGGGGGGGGCTACAGGAAACGCCAGATCATGGGATGGAGAAGCATAAGGTTCAAGCCAGCCGGTCGACCCAACGGAGCCCCGGGTAGTTCAGTGAGCTAAAGCAAACCTGGCATATGCAGAGGACGTACCGGACGTCTGAGTGCCTGGTCGTCGTATATGGGTGTGCATGCCCCTGTAATCATGGCTGCTATAGGCGTTTTGTCCGGCTAAACTGTAAGCGCAATATGGATCCCTATCTTGTATGATATTACATTATTCACCTCGTATTTGTTAGACGCGGTACCCACCACAGATCGGGGCTTCTAGTCTATCTAGCAAAAGGGCTAGATTGAAGATGTAGCGCAACGGTCGATATTAACTCATGTCAGTGGTTCGTGGCGAGCCCATGATTCATGAATTAACTGGCTCTGGTCTTATA